GCACGCCCAGAAATAGCGGCAATAAGGGCCTAAGCAACGCGACGCTCCATTCGTCAAGAAAATGTATGGGGCCCAAATTTCGAAGCCTTATAACTTCAAAACTAAAGGGAATCTTAAAAAAATCGATTTCCAACTTTGTAGAATGGGATACGGCGATTCTAATGATACCAAGAACTAAGAAAACTGAATTCAAAAAGTATCGAAACGAAGGCGTTTTTTATTTCGTTTGAATTTCTTGGGGTGTGCCGGGCTTTTGACGGGTCGTTTGTATCGGTGTGTAGCGAACGGCCCTGGGAATGAGATAGCCTATTGAAAACTTAAAATGCTTATAAAAATCTGCCGCTTCATTGTGAAGACTTGTCCAGTATACCAAAAAATTCGCCTTTTTTCGGGCTACAAAACGAGCTACAGGTCAGGATGCCTACATACCAAATCGCTGAGAAAATTACGAAAAAAGTCGAGCCACCGATCCTTTTGTCACAAACTGTAGTAAGAAAGTAAAAGGAAACGCCTGGTAGTCATTCTATCGCCAAATTCTATTTTATTTCACTTATCTTTTACATTTGCCTGTCCGATTACCCATCTAAAACATTCGAACCGAATGTTGCTTGCCGTCGTGGTACGTACGCGCCGTGTAGCGCCCCGTAGCCTTCGCCTCAAATTGCCGAAAATCTATGCATTTGAATGGGCGTGGGCGAGATATCCATCCTCTTTCTCGTGCATAACATTGACGATTCCCGTTTCGAGGTCCTCCTCGTATTCCGGGGGTGCTGCCGGCTGTTTTTGGGCTTTTTTGGCGTGTAGCCACAAGAATTCGACGTAGTTCTTCCACGGCATGAATTCGGGCTGCTGCTTAGATTGGTAGTGGCACGTCTGGCAGAGAGGGGGCCCGTCTTTCGGCGTATCCAACATGCAGGTATAGCATCTCCACGTGTGGCCACATCTCGGCAGCATCGGGAAGCGATCCATACAATCTGCCGGTTTCTGGCAGCCTGGGCATCTTGGAATCTGGAATTTTTGAAAGTTAGGTGACGGGCTTCCTTGTTTTTTCATATTAGCCCAAAAAAGCCTACTAATGCAATACTAAGGAATTTTGTGGGTTTTTTAGTTCAGCAAATTTCACTAAATTTCAAGTGTAAAACGACCCAAAAATTTCACTTTTAGTGTGAAACGGCTATTTTCGATCGTAGAATCAATTTTTAGTAAATTTAACTATGTTTCAAGCGCAAAAAAACTATCCAAAAACTTCGAAAATTTCTTTAAAAATCGTCATTTTGGTCTACAACCCGCGAATTTGGATAGAAAATTCGATATTTATAGGCTTTTTCACAAAAAATTTCAGGTTTTTGAGGCTTTGACATAGTAAAAAAAACTTATAAAAAAACCTCCTCTATTTATATCAGACAAAAGAACGAAGAAAATAGGTTTATTTCCCTCCCCCTGATATCGCGAAAGTACCTGAGACTCATCCCCGTTCTTGAAGTTTGTGTCGAGGAGGGCGAGGATCAGCTCGACAGGGCCCGATCCGCCAGCTCCGACGCACATTTGGCAACGGATGTCGTTGCGGTGCTTGACGATGAATGGACGACTTCCGGGGGTTGACGGGTGGAATGGACGGTGGCATTTGGAGCAGTAGAAGCATTGCATCATGCTCATCTCGGCGCCCATCTGAAAACAAAAATAATTATTCGAGCCAGATCAACGATAAATGAGCAGGAAAACATGAAAATATGCGGAAATGATTCTGGAGGTTTCTTATCAAGTATCAAGCTCAACGGCAGAAGTAAAAAGGATTATTTCGGTAGCAGAATCAACAAAATGAACAAATTGAAGCATAGCAACGCGAGAATAATAATAATGACGATCGAAAGCAGGCAAATCTTTTTATCATTTCGCTTGAGGCTGCTGCAGAATTGGCGATTGAGGGTCGATTCACCAAAGACACCAAGTTTCTTCTTGATCTCCTCAACGTGCTCATTGATTTCGTCGAGCATCTCCAGCTTTTCCTTCTTTTCCTGAGCCTCTACATCGAGTATTCCTTGTCTTTTGGCCATAGACTTTTTACGAGCTTGAAGTTGTCGTTGACGCTCGAACAATGTGAGGAATCCAAGGAACTGGACATAATTGCCCCAAGGTACGAAGTCACGATCCTCTGGTCGAGTAGTACAAATTTTGCAATCCATGATGTCGTTGTCGCCCTTGTGGAAGACACAAGAGTAGCATCGCCATGTATGACCACACGATAATAGCATCGGTAAACGAGCCAAACAGTCTGCCGGTTTCTTGCATCCTGGACACTTCGGGATCGTGGATTTGTCAAAGTCCTTGAAGCCGTCGTCGAGAAGACCGATGAGCAGCTGGACGGGATCCGAATGTCCCTTCTCGGCACATTGTTCGCATACAATGTCGTGGCCCGTCTTGTTGAATACTGGCTTCCTTCCCGGGACAGTTGTGCTGAACTTTTCGTTGCATTTCTGGCAAGAGACGCACGGGTTGAGGCTGAAGTCGGCGCCCATCTGAAAAAAGCAGATAAATAAGGAACTATAACAGATCAAAAGAAAGCGAATTTTGATCAGACAATTTTTCTTCTTTTAGACAAACAGTACTTTAGTTTTCTGGTTATTTTCTCCAGCAAAAGGCTCGGTTTTCGCTTTTTTTCGCGATTTTCTTGGAAAATTTTGATTTTTCCGGTACAGAACAGTTCAACTGACGTAGTAGCGTAGCCAGTATGGTTCCGGAAAACAAAAAGGGGCCAAAAATTGCCGAAAGTCAGGGTAAAAAAATCTCAAAAATTTTAAGTTTCAGCACCCATCTAAAAAAATAAATTATTACAAAATTTTGTGGCGTAGAAAACATAGAATACAAAATATTAAGGTTGCTTTAAAAAGCACAATGATTAAAAAGTGAACGGCACAACTAACAACGTTTATTTGAAAAGCAAGGCCAACAAAACGAACAAATTGAAGCATAGCAACGTGAGAACGATGGTGAATTGCATGTTCATCTTTTCTTCCAATGCGTTGTTGTGGGTATTCACGGGAGGAGGGGCAAGGATCTGTTGGTGACGAGCAATCGACTCGAGTATCTCCTTGTTCTTCTCCACCTTCTGGTTGATTTGGTGGGTGATGACGATGAACTCCTTGAGCGTCTCCAGCTGCTTTTCATATTTCTCCATGCGACCCTCGATTGGATATGTGATGGCGAGTCGTTCATCGGGCTTTGGCAGTGACTTTTGTTGCTGCTGCTTGTCGTCGTCGACGCCGAAGAACGTTTGGCCCTAGAAAAACGGAGTGATTCTTTTGTGTTATCGGGGGATTTTTGCCTAAAATTTAAATTTTCTTCCAAAACTACATGTTTTTCACACTTTTTGATTATAGTAAATATAGTTCTAAGCTCAAAACTTGCAAATATTTGTTAAAAATATAAAATTCTTGATTTTTGCCAAAATTGCAAATTTTAAACTATTTTTGTAGCTTTTTAAATGCTAAATCTTGTCCCAAACACGATTAAAATACTTACAAATATAAATAATACGTTATTAAGGATCTCTAGACTATTGCTAAACGTAAAAAACACATTGTTTTGTTAAAAATACAAAAAAAAAAATAGATTGTTAGCCAAAACTAACGGATTTTAAACTTCTTTTAGCTTTCTAAACGCTAGTTTTTGTTGCAGCCGCAAATGAAATACTTGCTAGTACATTATTCTGGTTTTCCAGAATTATACGACCCCCGCTAATGCAAAAGCACCCATTTTGAAGCGGAAAACGCGCTTACCAGTAGGCAGCTTAAATATCGTGTCCACGGCACGTATTCGCTGGCCAGCCGCCCACAAACGTTGCAGTTCAAAAAGTGGCGATCCTCGGCGGTGAGGGCGCAGAAGCCACAAACCCATGAATGGCCACATCTGGCGAGCATCGGAAGTCGTTCCATACTATCCGCCGGCTGATTGCACGCCGGACATTTCGGGATCGACGATTTGTGGCAGCGCTTGAAGTCGGTGTTGAGAAGATCCAAGACCAGCTGCACGGGATCGGAGGCTCCGTACCGGGCACAGCCCTTGGCAGATGATGTCGTAGCGTCCGGTGCCGATCACCGGCTTTCGGCCGTGGATGTGGGAGTTGAACGGCTTGCCGCAGGCGGCGCACTGGAAGCAGACGAACGTGCTCAGCTGGGCGCCCATCTGCAAAAAAGAGAGATAAATGAATGTGAAAAATTTGCATTAAAAACTCGAAACTTAAAACTTAAAAACGTCAAAAATTCGAATTTTTTGGGGTTTTTGGGCGATTTTTTTGGCTTTTCGAGCCGTTCTACGTGAAAATTTTCATCCAATTAACAAAACTTCTTTTCTACAGTAAAAGGACCAATTTTGCACGTTTTTGAAGGATTGCTTGAAAATTTTCATTTTTCCGGTACACCACAGTTCGATTGACGTAGCAACGTAGTGTGTATGGTTCCGGAAACCTTAGAAATGGCAAAAAGTTTCAGAATTGAAAAGAATATGCAAAAAAAAAAAATGCAATTTTCAGCGCCCTTCAATCTTCGAGCGACTGCAGCGGACGATTGACGAGTTGCCGAGTCTGCCGGATATGACCGGAGAGGGCTCTGTGGTCAGTTTTTCCAGAATTATCGATTTTTATTCGCTTTTAGGTGGAAAGAATCGACAATACGCTGAACGCCCACTATTATACGATTGCTTATTGTGTCGTTATAACCGCGGTAGGTTAAAATGTCTAGAAAATGGAATAAATACGCTTTTGAAGGATTAAAAACCTTGTAAACGTTATAAAAATTGTTAAGGGAGCTGTAAAATCGATTTTAACACATAAAAACCATTTTTCAGTATGTATTGGGCTTTGCGGAGTACGTCTACCTTCGGCTCGTCTCGATTCTCATCCCGGAAAAGATGAAATTTTACAAGACATGCCAGGAACGGGCTGATGAAAGGGTACTTTTTTAGTAAAATTACAGTTGGGCAAACTTTTTGGACCAAATCTTCAAATCAAAATCAGTAAGAAGTAACCTAAAAGTAGATTAAATCCTTTTGAGCACTTTTATTAGTATTGCACTATTTTTTAAGGGTTTTAAGACCAAATTGAGCTTCATTTAAGCTTTTTTAATGCCATCTTAATCCAAATTTACTAGACCTGAGCTTTCTAACCGGGTTTTAAATATTGATTTTGTTGAAAATAGGTATTTTACAATATCTTTAATGCTATATCAGGTAAAACAAACTTTCCGGCGTATTTTTGAGCCGACATCAAGCAAGCAAGATTTGTCTGTTTTGAGGATTTTATCCCGAATTTATTTAAATTTCGTATTTTTGAGTATTTCTAATGCTAAATTGATGAAAATAGAGTTTTTGGATGCATTTTCGGACCAAATTCAGCTAAAATTGGATATGTTGGAACAGTTTTAACGCTAATTCCATGAAAATTTGTTGTTTTACAGGATGTTTCAATGCCAAATCGTTAAATTAGATGGATTTTGGCCATTGATCTCATTAAAACAATTTAAATCCCCGCTTTTTCAGGTGGGTAAGGATGGTTGGCATTACGGCGTGAGTGTGGGGGCATTTGTCGTGATTGCCCTGTTCCAATTGATCTGTTTCTTCGGATTGACAATATCTGAGAAATGGACAAAGATTAGCCATTTTGGGCCCTCATCTGCCGCGTCGTTACGGTAGGTCTCGACACGTCTTAGGGAATAAAAAGAATTTAGGCGCGAGCGTGTCGCGTCGCAGATCCGGACCGTCATCCACAAGATTATGTACCGCACCTTTTGTGGGTTTTTTCGCTTCTAAACATTGTAAGATCCGAAAAAGTTATTTTTGGGATATTTGATAGCGTTTCGATTGATTTTTTTGCAATTAAGTACCGGGATTTAAAATCGGGAAAAGGGAAAGAGGGGAAAATCGATAAAAATGCAGCAAATTTTTGCGACATATTTTTTTGAATTTTCAGCGTAGTTTAACCAGAATTTAAATTGTTTTGAGACGTATAGCTTGTTTAAAAATTTTATTAATTCTAAGACCGTGAATTAACATTTAAATATTTTGGAACTCATTAAATTCGCCAAAAATTCCATAGAATTTAGGAAATTGCCTTTTTTGCGGGGTTTTAAAGGTATATAAAATGATTTAAAATGCAAGAAAATTTCTAAAATTTTTGCAATAAAAGTAATAAGTTAATCGATTACTAATGCGATACATTTATTATAGTATGCTACGGACTGTGCTCTGGCATCATTTGCATGCTGATTTTCTACATGGTCGGCATTCAGGTACGGCATTTTCGAAGTTGACTTCTTAATTTGGGGTTTTTAGTAAAAATCGTTAAATTCAGCGTAAAAAACGTGAAAAAAACGTAGCAGAAATTTTAAAAATATCGTATTTTTCAGGACTCAATCGGGGATACGGTATCCCAAGTGTTCATCTACATTTTCGACGCGCTAATGATCGTCTATTTCCTCGCATTTCCGTTGTGTACAATCATCTATCACCCACATGTTTATTGCTTTAAAAGGTACGCGAATAATGGATTTTTTACGATTATTTTTATCGACTTACAATTTGGAAAATAGCCAATTGGCAGGCAGAAAAGCTAAATTTATGAAAAAATAGCAAGATTTTTACAAAAATACGATTTTCAATAATTTGAAAACTTTCATGATTCCTCAAGAACCTCTGCCAGTTGCCTAAAATTTTGGTAAATAATCAACTGGCTGGCAAAGTAGTTATTTATAGAAATATTTATCTTTTTCAAAAGTTAGGAATTCAGAAAAATGTTTGCCAAGAAATTTCGAAAAAAATTCAAATTTAATTTAATCATTTTTAAAATACCTAGATGACCTCTGCTAGTTGTCTAAAATTGTCTAAAATTGTAAATTGGTGTGTAAATAAATGCCATAAATCGCAAACCCCTCAAAAAATTAAACTTTTGCCACTAAAAAAATCTCAAAAATCAAAAAAATCCTGATTTCAGCCGTCCCCCCCACGCAATCAGTCGATCCAGCCGATCCGTCAATATCACAGGGTGTTGCCCCTCTAGTCCACAATACTACAGCAACACGGCTGGCATCATTGGCTGAGGTACGGTAGCTTTCCCCAAATAATCACTGCTATGGGTGTTCAGATAGCCGAGCCCTCTTCATATTCTGCATCTCCACTTCCATCTGCCGTTCCTCCACTCAGTTTTCCCAATTTTTCGGAACGGGATCGACCGGAAAGTGCGTTTTAAAGGGACTGGGAAGGATAGAATTTAGCAGCTAGCCAATTTGGCAAGCAATATGATAGATCTTCGCAAAAGTCATTTTAAAGGAACTGGGAAGTCGTGAACCTGTCGATTAGCCAGACTGGTATCCAAATTATCGAATTTCGTCAAAAATGCAATTTTAAAGGGACTGGGAATTCCAAAAATTAATCGGAAGTCAAACTGCTATGCAGTTTATCGATTTTCGCGAAAAATTTTGTTTTAAAGGGGCCAGGAGCCCTAGGATCTCGTCTTTGGCGCAACTGACAGACAATCTATTGATTTTCGCCAAAAACTCGGGTGTCAAGGGACTAAGAAGGCTGGAACTTGGCAACTAACCAAACTGGCATGCAGGCCAACGTTCCCAATCGAAAAATCGAAAAGTCGAAAGGTTTTTACTAGGAAAACGGTATCGTTCCAGGTTTATCCGGTCGAAGTACGCACAGTGCTCGTGAACCACCACAATTGGATAGAGGGATCGAGATTGAGCCATTTCGAAGAGGGAGCAGACAGACAACTACCGTATAAACGTTTATAATCATTAAATTTTTTTGCCAAATTGAAGCTTTATACAGTGTGATATTGTGCATGACATATCGCCTTTTTGCCTTCGCAATAAACGGGTTTAAATTATCGATATTTATGAATCACGGAAGATAACTGACAGAGTGAGAGAAAGGCAGAGAGATAGCCAGAAAAAAAAATACAATTTTACATAAAAATTCGGCTTGGTAACCCGTGGCCAAGTGGTTAGTGGGCGCGCCTGCCAATCTAACGACGCAGGCTCGACTCCCGGCCGCTGCCAACTTTTTGCTTTTTGCTTCGAACGGTCAGAATCGGCTATCTGGTGACTACGAAGCGAGGCATAGATAGAGAGAGAGAGCCAGAGAGAGAGAGAGAGGGTGACATCACATTGTCAGTACCCCGAGGTAACATTCCCTCCTTGGCAGCGCGACCTCAATATGACCTCCCGATAAGTGGCGTCATTTAGTATATCACCGCCCATTTCCGCAAGGAATCTCTGCTATCTTGCCCTGTCTATAACCTGGTTATTTTCAGATACCAGCGCTCCATAAAAATGCTTCTCAACTTCCCAATCGAGAAATTGCCGCTGGTACTACAGGATCTAGTCTACAAAAGAACGCCTCCAGGCTCTAAACTACGGCTTCGATCTGTTAATAAGGTATACGATTACTATAAGAATTCAGTAGTCGTGTCCGTCCGTCCGTCTGTCCGTCTTTCAGAAGCCAACTATAACTCAAAGGGGAAAGGAGCTAAAGCCTAGGTCTCTTCGGATTCGGATAGAGCGCCGTCAGAAACCCCAAAACCGATCAAGAACAGAATCTAAAAACTTCTTTTTCATATTTAGAAATAGCTTTTCGTAATTTGGTAGCAAGAACGGCTATTTGCGCGATTTTGGGCATAGTGATCCAGATCGCGCGCGTTTCGGCGAGGGGCAGGGAGCGCAGGGGGTAGGGGTGAAGTCGAATTTTCCGCTGTAAGCGACTGGTAATGCAACAATTACGACTCCTAATGTTTTAGAAGATGAGAGATGGGCATCGATTACGCGATATAATGTCGGGTCCAGTACCAAATATTCGAATAGAAGACGGCGCACGGCGGGCCAATGCGATGCGAACAGAGAAACTGACTGATCCATGACCGTGGTTAGAAGTTCACATCTTGTTTGATGGTATCGAAGAAGATGATGGGGAGAAAATACTTATCTCGATCTATTTCGAAGAGAGTGAAACAACGCCATCCCTGGATTTTGAATACTGGCAAAGGTTGGCTACCACGGTTGCATCAACTTTTTTTTCTTAGGATCTCATTTTCCCTATATAAATAATAGAAAGGTTTTTAAATGGTTTTATCCCATTTTTAAACGTAAAAATATAACAAATTTTTATTAAAAAACCGCGAAAATATCGATTTTTCGAGTAAAAAGGCCGATTTTTGACCAAAAGTTCGAGTTTTCCACATTTTCTCAAGCTTCTACGAAGTTTCCCTAGTTAAAAAAGTCCGTATTTTTAGCGAGGCGATGGATCGACAGCGGAGATCGTGGTATCTACCACGATTTCCACATCGAGAAGCCGTCTACAATGGCCACGATAGCATTGGATTGATGAATCGTCTGCTGGCCAATTTCAGACCAATGCTATTGACGTTGCGTGATTTGGCAAATGGGCCATTATCCGATCCATCCATTATTCATATTTGGAGAATACCGTATACACTTTCCGTGAAGAGATATGGGCTTGAGGTACGTTTTTTCATTTTGTTTTTGTATTGCCGCGTTCCGCTGAATCTATGATTGCAGGAGGCGGTTAAGTGCCTAGAAGAGACGTACAATCATCACAATACACCTCAGCAGGTATTCTCTCTCTCTCTCTCGCTCTCTCTCTCTCTTTCTCTCTCCCTCTTTTTCTTTCTCTCTCTCTTTCTCTCTCTCTCTCTCTCTCTCTCTCTCTCTCTCTCTCTCTCTCTCTCTCTCCCTCTTTCCATCTCTGCCTCTTTCTCTCTCTCTCTCTCTCTCTTTCTTTAGCTCTCTCACTTAACTGTCTACCCCCCTTTCAGGTTCACATCAAATGCATGGCATTAGATGCGCATAGTTTCACCAAATTAATGGCCAAGGTCAGATTCTAAAATAATGATAAAACGTCTCGTTTCTTATATTAATCCAATCCACTACCTTTTCAGCATTCCGATATCCCAATTCTGGACCTTGAACGATTCTGCTCAACGGATGATGGTGTTGATGTTGATAGTATTCGAGCGTTTCTTCATGCACTTCTCATTCAGGTATCCATTTCGCTATCTTTGCCCGCGCGATTTCGGCAAATTTTGACGCAGTTTCACATGCAGAATTTCACTGAGAAAACGTCGATTTGGCGCGTCGGGACCCCCGCTCATCTGGTTCCACGACGTCGAAAACACGAGAAGCTGTCCCGAAAAAACCCCTTGGGCATTTGGCCGTCTTCTATCGGTTCGGGCCCAAATTTTTACCAGTGATGGGGACCCATAAAAACTATGTGCCGCCAAATTTTCTAAACAAAAAAGTGTAAAATAAAAAGTTATTGCTAAAAACTGCTTTTTTGGAAACGCAGATACTCATTTTTGGCAAAGTTTTCGCAATTCTGAATGAACGGTCAATGTCGCGCATTTTAGCACCCTCCGATCGGCAACAACAAACGGTTATTTCGTTTGATTATCAGGCGGAGACGAGATTGGCGACGGTTGCCGGCATGCAATGATCCGGTATTCTCATATTTACCAAATTTAGGGGAATTACGGGAAAATATGGCGGAAAAAAACCGAAATGCAAAAATACACCCAAAAATTTCGACATTCTGATAAATTTGCAAAATACGGAAGAACTTGAACAAGATTTTAGATGTTATTTTCATCTATGATTTCAGCTGTATCGGCAGATGATTGATCGCTATCTGGTGACGAACGAACTAAAGAAAATCGGCGCAAATACAACAAAACAAGATGCAATGATCATCGATTATCAACCGGAAATCGGCTTCCTCCCCCCGACAGTAAACGTGGGCCATTTTCTCGCATTGTTTACCTGATTTTAGTGGCAACGAATTATTGTGGTTGCGCAGAATTATCGTCAAAACATGGCGGCTGTACGAAAAGTCTATCCACACATCATATCTTCCCGTTCGAATGCGAATTTTCTTGTTGGCACCACGCGGGGAAATGGTCTTTTGAATGATTGGCCATTTTTTGTACGCGACGTGCGATTTGAATGATAAAGTGCTGTTGTAACAATTTAACAATGTAACAAAAAACCAACAAAAATGTAACATTTGAATGTTTTGGGGCGGACATCGGACCCAGCTATGTGAGTATGTGCATCTTGCAGAGCTCGACGAGACGAATCGTTTGATGTAACTTTTAGCTGCGGATACCTTTTTTTTAATAAAATTACAGCGGTTTAAAGTTTTTCGCGACACCTTCATAAGCCCTCCCCACACCCCAACTTCCGTGCTCTGGTAGTCTAGTGGGTTAGTGGTCGGCGTCCCGGGATGGCGTCGAGGGTACGGATCCGCTCACGATTTTTATTTTTTGCTTTTTGGTCGGAAGCTTCCACTTTGCATCCCGAAGGACTACATTAACTTTTTTTTCATTTTTCGAATCATATCCCCCATTAAATAAACATAAGCGGAACACAGAGGATTTTTCGAGCTATAGTCATGGCTTGGTCATGGTGAGATCTTGGTGTGGGTGAAACTCCAAAACACCAATGAATACTGTCACCAACTTCTTTGGTGTGGGTGCTGGAGATAAAAAATGAAAAAAAGTTAATGTAGTCCTTCGGGATGCAAAGTGGAAGCTTTCGACCAAAAAGCAAAAAATAAAAATCGTGAGCGGATCCGTACCCTCGACGCCATCCCGGGACGCCGACCACTAACCCACTAGACTACCAGAGCACGGAAGTTGGGGTGTGGGGAGGGCTTATGAAGGTGTCGCGAAAAACTTTAAACCGCTGTAATTTTATTAAAAAAAGGTATCCGCAGCTAAAAGTTACATCAAACGATTCGTCTCGTCGAGCTCTGCAAGATGCACATACTCACATAGCTGGGTCCGATGTCCGCCCCAAAACATTCCCTAGTGAGTGCAATTTTTCCTTCGAAAAGCAATTGTTACGATTTTAACAAATCAAGAATTTGCTAATATTATTATTAAACTATTTGGTTTTCAGATAGACATAACCTTCGCAAATTTGCCAGATTCCTGAATGAGTCCATGTCTTCTGATAGCATCAAAAAGCGACGATAAGGATGGTGAGGGAGAGAGAGAGAGAGAGAGAGAGAGAGGGGGGGAGAGAGAGAGAGAGAGAGAGAGAAAGAGAGAGAGAGAGAGAGAGAGAGAGAGAGAGAGAGAGAGAGCGAGAGAGAAAGAGAGAATAGTTTCACCTACCCTGCGGCAACATTCCCCTCTTCCCGCGTAACCTCATCCTGACCTCATAATAATTGGCGCCATTCTCGTTTCGAACGAATTGCATTAATCAATGGGTATACCCAGATAATCTTAGCTAGTTTCCTCATTATATCCGCATCCAGATTATTTGCAAAATCCAATACCAAGTAAAAGAAGATGCATCTCAACTTCCCAATCGAGAAATTGCCGCTCGACCTACAAGATCTAGTCTACAAAAAGATGCCTCCAAACTCTAAACTACGACTTCGGGCTGTCAATAAGGTATCGAATTATTGCCTTTTACACAGTTTCACATAAAAAACCTCAAAAACATTATAAAATTTATAAGAACTACCAAAAAAGGGTAAAACTTTTAGAATTTTCAAACATTAAAAAATATTGTTATAACTTTCTAGCTTTCCAAAACTACAGAAAACATTATACAAATACATTGTTTATTATTAACAGGATGGCCTAGCTGGAATGTTAAAAACTGACTCCCCCCGTCAACGGGGAAGACACAACAGATTACTACATCTATGTATTGTTCCAGAAGATGCGATATAGGCATCGATTACGCGATATAATGTCTGGCCCGGTACCATATATTCGAATAGAAGACGGGAGAGTACGGCTCGATCCGGTGAACGTATGGAAACGATACGACCGTTGGCCTCAGTTTAAAGTGGTCATATTTTTTGATGGTGTCGATGATTATGATGGGGAGAGAATAGTTATCGAATTCGATTTCACTCAACTATGGCCATCCATGTCTATCAAATATTGGAAAAGGTGAGTTATATCTAGAGTTCTTATCGACCCGGGTCGGAACCGGGGGTCGGGTCGAATACTTGTTTTTTCACTTGAGTGCAGTTTACCCCTCCCCCCAGCCGGCACCTACCTACCGTATCTCGGCTCCCTGTTCATCTACAGGCGTGTGAAGTATACCAAAATACTCGCCAGCGCAGGACGAACATTTTGGTATACTTTACACACCTGTAGATGAACAGGGAGCCGAGATACGGTAGGTGGGGGTCGGCTGGGGGGGTAAACTGCACTCTAAACCTTTTTTCCACCCGGGAATCTAGATATATCCCAAGCTTTTGCATCCGATTCTTTTGTTAAAGTGTCAATCAGCTCTCGCTGAAAATTGCAAGCTAGTGAAATAGTCAAGCGCGCACGGTTATGGTAGACGAAATCGACGTTTTGGGCGGGTGAAGATGTCATGTCGTACCTCGGGCCAACGAATCTCTCGACCCCGGTGATTCACAATCAAAAAATCGCTAGGATGTTGAACAGTGTCTGGGGTTCTAGAAGCCGCGTCAGGCTCTTTTGAATGCGATCACGCAGTCAAGTTACCTTGATAGATGACCTCCTAGATGGCCGATTTTTGAAGTTTTGTGAATTTCGGGTTACGGGGCTCGTGAAGTTGCCCATTCGAAACGTTTTTCTCTCTCCCCCCCCCCCAAACTATTTAACGTGATTTTTAGAACAATTGAAGTTTGTAATTTTGGGCCATTTGAGTCTGAAAACCAGCTATAACTTTTCAACTAAAGGGTTTCCGCAACTTTTGAAAACGGATTCGAAAACAGCAAAAAAAAATTCTACACCAGCTCTGCTATTTCACGTAAATTATGCGGTCAACAAAAACGGCCGCAGCAAGTCCCTGCTGGCAGCTACAAATTGCCCCTGGGTTCTTTAACTATTAAGTTTTTGCAGCTTAGCGATGGATCCTGACTATGTCTGTAACTACGGAAATGAAAGATTACCGCGATACTGGGTTGTCTGCAATCAACAAGCCGTCTACCATTGTCGTCAAGGGATTGGATTGATGAATCGGTTGCTGGCCAATTTGAGGCCAATGTTTTTGACGATGCGACATCTGCCACTGGGCCCACTATCTGATCCATCCATTATTCATATTTGGAAATTGCCGTATACACTTTTCGTGATAGCCGACCATCATCTCGACGTACGTTTATATCATTTTTTTCAGTTAATACGAATGGATGAATATTACAGGAGGGAATTGAGTGGCTCGAAAAGACGTATAATCGTCGCAATCCACCTAAACTGGTATTCTCTCTCTCGCTCTCTCTCATCTCTCGCTCTCTCTCTCTCTCTCTCTCTCTCTCTCGCTTCCTAGCTACCAATTGGCCGATTCTGAGCGTACGAAGCAAAAAGCAAAAAGTTGGCAGCGACCGCGACCTTTCTCTCTCCCTCTCTTTCTCCCTCTCTCCCTCTCTCTCTCTCTCTCTCTCTCTCTCTCTCGCTTTAATTGCTTTCCAACTCCCTTTTTCAGGTTTCTATCCGCTGCCACAGTTTCGATCAACATAATTTCAAAACATTGATAGATCAGGTTTGTTTCCCCTAACGATAAAACGGCTAACTTCCCTCATACTAATCAAATCGTCTACCCTTTCAGCATTCCTATATTCGAATAATGGATCTTGATAAATTCTGCTCATTGGATATTGCTGCTGAAATGCTTGTATTCCTTCACACCCTCCTCATCCAGGTATCCATTCCGCCAATCAACACCCCTACCTTTGGTTCTGGACTGCTAGCGGGGGGCGGGGGGGGGGGGAATATGCCTGGGCATATTCCCCCCCCAATAATTCTATACCGCCATAGAGCGAAATATAAATGATTTTCTCTACATTTTACATCGTTTTTGATATAAAAAATTTGCCCCAAAATTAGAATTTTTTATATTATAAATTATAAATTATTATCAATTATATCAATTATATTATATTATTTTTCTTATTTTTATAATTTTGATTGGCTTCTATCAATCAAAAATATTGCTAGAAGCATTCATTTTAGCACCCTCCGATCAGGAATAAGAAACGGATGATTCGCCTGGTTATTAGTCACCATTGGGATGATCGATGTCCGATTGGTCACTATAATCATCAGGTTCGTAGTACAGCGTTTAAAGTATTTTAATTGTATTTTTATTAAAGTAAACTATACAGGGTGTCCCAAAAAAACGAACCATCTGGCATTTCGCCGTGTAACATCCAATCGGGCCCAAAATTGGACGAGAGGTGTATCAGACCCTAAATAACTACAATCCTGACTTACAGCCCCATAGCTACCGTCGTTCTCGAGTTATAACGAAAATACAGCTTGCCCGGAATTCTCTAAAGTTTTTTCGGCTATCTTTTTGGACTTTGCATCGATTTGCATCGACTTCCGGCTGTGAATCCTTAATTTCGCTTAAGAACTTGCGTAATTTTGCGTTGTAAAAATCGCTTAAATCGAAGCTTATTCAATTATTTTACTCTGGAAAAAATTTCTGAAGGCAAAGAAGGCCTGCCGGATCATTTTCGCCTAATGTTTGGGGGTCTAATTCCACGAAAACCCTATGAAAAATAGAAAATAAAGTTTGTTTTTGCCATAACTGGAGAACTACTATAGCTACCGGGCTATAAGTCAGGATTGTTGTTATTTAGGGTCTGATAGATCTCTGGTCCAAATTTGGGACCGATTGGATGTAACACGGCAAAATGCCAGATGGTTCGTTTTTTTTGGGACACCCTGTATTTCAAGTTCAAAAAATGCCCAAAACAGCTCTTAAAGCGCACGTTCAGGGAGGGGCCATGTACTCGTCCCAACGTGTACACCCTATGGACGTAGCGACCGGGCGCATTGCCTGCCCGTGCTGTGGCAGGCCATTCCCCTCCTTTGCGGCGTGGGGCGCCCCCCGCCCCTCACCAGGTTGTAGCTGTGGCTGACTGGTATCCATCCGCGCCTCCCGAGCGGGGGGCCCGGGTTCGACCCCCGGCCGCGGCGAAAACCTTTGCTTTTTTTCAAAAAAACGTCCCTGAACCTGCCTTTTAAAAATCGAAATTTTGGCCGAAACATCCATAGTTTTTTGTATTAAATCACAAAAATTTGCAAAGGTTTGCACCTAGGTATAGCTGAAAAAAAATTATTGGGAACGCTTCAAGTCACAGTAAAGATCACACTACACATAAGATTTTATCATACAGTTTTTCAGCTCTACCGGCGGATGATTGATGGAGGTTTGGTGGTGAACGAATTGAGAAAAATCCCTTTAAACACGGCACAACAAGATGCAATGATATTTGATTATCAACACGAGCCGGGTTGCGCTATGCCGCCATTCGAAGTATGTATTTTTGTCCATTTATTCAAGCCAATAATTTTGCATCGCGCTCGAAAAACTCTCCCCCAACATCCACCAAAGCCTCGAATTTTTACAATTGATCTTTATCCTCTGTTGAAAGCTTAGAATTTTGGCCGGAACCGTACAGAGTGTCTCAATAAAAAAACACCGCCCTCTAACTCGACGCAGAAGTATCGGATCGGAATGGTAGTTATGCCATTCGTAAGCCCTTGAAACGGCCAGTTTGCAACTATCCGGTATGTAACCCCGAAAAACTTAAACGCTTTACAAAACGGACGGTAAAGTCGCGAATTTAAATAAAAAGATGGTTTTGAAATATGTTGCAAACTGGTCGTTTCAAGGGCTTTCGAATGGTGTGACTGCCATTCATCAGATATGTCTGCGTCAAGTGAGGGGGGGAATGGTTTTTTTGGGACAGGTTTAGGCACCTTGTACAGTTTCGGCCAAAATTCTATCATGTGTTGCTTTTTAGGTGATAACTTCGCGGAGCGCTGCAATATTTTCCTGAAATTCGGATCAAATGTTGGCTAACCTGTAACCTAATTAATGTTGTATTATATTTTTTTTTGGATCTACCATCGGCCCGCACGGTTTTGTTTTCCATTTTGGCCAGCCGAAAATAGGGTCTCAAATGCCACATTTGTCGAAGGATTTTAATATTGTCTTGTTTATGTAAATTTGACGCCGGGTCCCTTATTTTTAGCTGAACAAAATGAAAAACAAAGCCGGACGAGCCGATGATAAATCCAAAAATCAAGAAAACGCAACATTAATTGGAGTACACCGTAGCCGACATTCTGCAAATTTCATGGAAACATTGCCGCACTCCGCGAAGTTATCGCTTAAAAACAGAACCGGAACAAGGATATAATTTTGGCCAGAACCGTACTTGGAGAAGTTCTGTATGATGTGAATTCAGTGGGGATGGCAGCGAATCGTTGTGGTTGCACAGAATTATGGCCAAGACATGGCAGCTGTACGAAAGGACTATCGACCGTTGAAGCAGGTCTACCTTCTCCCCGGAAATCCGGAAGACAGTGTTCCTGTAAATGATTGGCCATTCTTTGCGGGTAGCATGCGAATTGAGCGATGAAGAAGTGTTGTCTTCCCCCCCCATGCTACCAGCCCTCAACCCTCAACCTAGCCCCTTCAACTCCCCATAAGGTCCATTTCGCCCCGGGAAGATTACGGTATTCTCAAATTTTTTGCTTTTTTCTCGCAACGATTTCAATTTTCTAAAACATTTTTTAGTTTCATTCTTATTTTCTTTCAAATTTTCTAAAACACCTTATCTAAAACACTTTTTGAAAACGGTAGCTCGCTCTGAACTTTTTGCTCTATCGAAGCTTAGCTAGGTCCCGTCCCGAAACTCCAAAAGCACCTAAAAAACGACTCCTGTCAGCTGGCCACTTGCCAATTTTAGATGAGACCTGATCTACTCGTACCCTCCTTATCCCTTTAAGGCCCCCATTCAACCACTACTCTGTTGCTATCGTATTATCCAGATGTACAGCGTGAGGCGTCGAGATCCGATAAACTGTTATCTGTTCACACATCAACATACGGTAGAAATGCAACCACACATCCCTGCTCCTTCGAAAAATTACAAATTTAGATTCTATAAAAAATTGGTGAAACTGGCAAGTAAATGACGATCGGTGGCAACCATGCCGCTCAAAAGTATAAAAACTGTGGCCCTATCTTTTTGACACTTCTGTTTTTTCCCTATTTTGCAGGTTGCGAAGGGAAATTGCCATAAATTTGGCATGCAATACTTAAAATGAACCAATTTTCGTTGTTCCCCATAATTCCCGTTGCTACTAACAAGGAGTGCCTTTTGGGTGTCATCGGCAAATCCCTTCGAGACCTAGCTCATTCGATAGAGTATTGAATTCTGTACAACCCCTCGTCGTTCATTTTTGCAGAATGGCTTTTCCTGATTTTATAAAATTAAAAAACTAGAGGGCGAAAATCCGATAGTTCCTCGGTTGCTGTCGCCAGACAAGCACCCAGCAGCCCCAGGTGAAGTGCCCACGGGTGCGCCCTTACCCATCATCGCCGATGGCGCAGCGGTTAACGCGTCTGCCTACGAAGTTTCTTTTTGCCTTTGGTTGAAGGTTCGGTTCTTTTATGCGTGGTGCCTTTTGCGTTTTGAACCTTGATGATATTTCCACACCTTTTAGGCATTTCTGGGTGATGGTGGAGTCATTAGCAACGTTTCCACGTTGGGCTAGGACAAGAAATCAGGACATTTCTCTGGTCAAAATTTTCTCCGGGACTGTGACGGCCAATTTCAATTATTCTGATTCTTAAAACGCTCTGAAAGTCACAAAAGTGTTTTTAAAAAACAAAAAGCAAAAGTAATTACCAATAACGGAATCGAACTAGCAACCCGAAGCAAAAAAAGTTTGGAAGACCGATGCTCTAGCCACTATGCCACGTCTAGCGGTGGGGAGAAGGGACCGGAGGGCCTCTTCCCCTTGGGGCTCGCGCGGGGCAGCAACGTGCCGACTTGGAGGCATAAATTCCTTTTTTAGTTTTTTAATTTTATGAAATCAAAGAAAGGGATTCTGCAAAAATGGACCCCGAGAGGTTGTTCAGAATTCAATTCTCTATCGAATGAGCTAGGTCTCGAAGGGATTTGCCGATGACACTCAAAAGGCACTCCTTGTAAGACGTTTCCAGAATTTTCTTTCACAAATTAGCACCTTCGCAACTTGCGACAAACAATTGCGAGGTCAAACCACCACTCGCCGATGAGATTCGTCGTGTAAAAAATTGTTTGACCAGGCCTGAACAAAAGCCGCATCAAAGAAAATGGAGATCGTGTTAAGCTTGACTTCCTAATTTTGCTTTCCACAACATTGTTTGCCGGTTGTTGGATAAAAAAATGCACAAACAACCTTGCGATCAAACAGTTTCTCAACACATTTTCATGCAAAAAAAATTGTATTCAAGTCAACTGATAAAACGACCCTACGCAGGGGTTATCACCCCCTCTTCGGAAGCGCCCAATCAGTAGGGAAATTTCTCGTGCAAGAAATACGTTGCGATTATCTCGTTTATGAGCCGCTGCCGAGACTCACTCGCTGCTTACTTCCAATTGATTTTATTTCGCAGGTCAATCGTTGAGCTATTTTTCAGGATGTCGATGGAACCGCGGTTCTATACCGGTAACGGGAACTATAAAAAATATCGGGTACTATAAAAATATCCGGTACTATTAAAAAAGATCGGGTACTATAATAAGTATCGGGTACCATAGGAGATATCGTGGACCATTGGCCGGAATTGTGGACCATAGATTTCCCGAATTTTTCATTAAGGTCCACGGTTCGAATCGTGGACTATAGAATCGGGATTTTAGCCAGATTATGGTCCCCGATTCCGAAAGGCGCCGAAGGCGGGGCTTTACGCAGCGCAGATGCCTAGAATAGCTGGTTAAGGTGTTTTTACGCAACTGTGTTTACAATAAATATTGTTAATACTTTATTTAACCAAATTTAGACTGTTTGCCGTTGAAATGTGGTATGGTTTGAGTTTATCTTGCCTAGAATAGCATTTCAAGTTGTTTTTAGGCATTTATATTCACCATGCGAATTTTTAAGACTTGTATTTTGCAAAACATTAGACATTTGAGCTTTGATTGGGGCTTGCTGACTGCTGCTTGCGCTATCCCTTTAAATTAAAGCAAGGATACTGAATTTGAAATATGATATTAAAAATCCCAAAAACTGAAATAACGTATCTGATGCGGAAATAAGGTATCAAATTCGGTAAAATCCGATGGCGGTCGATATGAGGCATCAAATTATGAGGTTTGGGACTTTGTCGATGTTCGAGTTCCGGACAATTGCGCTTTTGACGAGTTTAACGTATCTTTCTAAGTTGCATGAGGAATGGCTGGTGCTGACCAACCTGAGGGGTACAGTACATCGTTGACGGTAACGAGCTACAAAACACACCGTTTAAGTTATTGGGTTTTAGCTGAAGTAGGCTTAAATTAGCTCTAATTATGCTTCACTAAAGCCTAGACTTCAATTTAGGCGCAAATCCAAGTAACTTGGAACCGCTTTGAAAACACAAATAGGCGCTATCTAGGGCTTACGCTATATAGATGGCTAGCTTACAGCCAGGCTTAACTTAGCTGCTCGTAGGCTTCGGCTTGGCTTCAATGGAGCTAATCAGGCTCACTAGGGAAGTCCAAGATACCCGCAACACAAATCGGGCAGAAAATTTGCACAGTTATAGAACCGACCATGCTGATCATCGCCTCGTTTTCCGAATTTGCTACCGAGCTTAAATAATTAAGATATTAAACTTTTAAAATGGGCCAAAAACCCGCTACCCTGACCCTGGCTCACTAGAGCGGGTAGGGTTCAAGAGGCCTTTGGGAAGCCCCCTTTCCAGTGCTTCGGTAGTCAACTGGTAAGCGCCTCGCTTCCCAGGGGGGAGGGTCCGGGTTCTGACCCGGTCCGCGCATTTTTTCTTTTGCTTTTTGCTAATTTTGCGGCGCACATGTGGCGCGTGTCCAGATTGTGTTTTTTCCTACACGCAAATGAGCCGGTTGCTGCCGTCGAACTACGGAATACCGGTTTTTAACATTTTTTTACTAATGTTGTTTTTATGAACTTTTTTCATAAATTTATGATTTCGTTGAATTTCATTTCTAGGATGTACGTAAATGCGTGTGCATAACACAATCTGGACACGCGCCACATGTGCGCCGCAAAATTAGCAAAAAGCAAAAGAAAAATGCGCGGACCGGGTCCGAACCCGGAACCTCCACCTGGGAAGCGAGGCGCTTACCAGTTGACTACCGAAGCACTGGAAAGGGGGGCTTCCCAAAGGCCTCTTGAACCCTACCCGCTCTAGTGAGCCAGGGTCAGGGTAGCGGGTTTTTGGCCCATTTTAAAAGTTTAATATCTTAATTATTTAAGCTCGGTAGCAAATTCGGAAAACGAGGCGATGATCAGCATGGTCGGTTCTATAACTGTGCAAATTTTCTGCCCGATTCGTGTTGCGGGTATCTTGGACTTCCCTAGTCAGGCATAGTTTAGATTTTCCAGAAGCGTTGATCAGGTTTTTGCCAGGAGTTACATTGAACCGATTAGAGCCCCAATCAAAGCCCAAATGTCTAATGTTTTGCAAAATACAAGTCTTAAAAATTCGCATGGTGAATATAAATGCCTAAAAAACAACTTGAAATGCTATTCTAGGCAAGATAAACTCAAACCATACCACATTTCAACGGCAAACAGTCTAAATTTGGTTAAATAAAGTACTAACAATATTTATTGTAAACACACAGGCCCGTACCTGGCCCGAAATTTCGGGGGGGGGCAGGACCGAAAAAATGTTTGACGACCCCCGGTCGACGCTTTTGTAAAATGGCGGAGAAACGGTGTAAAAACTCTAAAAACAGCGCCGCAGGCGAAATTTTTGCAAAATTGGTTAAGAAAAACCCTGGGATTCGGCCAAATCGCGGCAAAAAATGCACTTTTGAACCGAAATTGCGATTCAATGATTGAAAAAATGAGCGCCGCAGGGAAAAATTTTTGAAAAATGTTGTTTCTAGCTCTAAAAACCGACTTGCGAACAGCTATAAAAAGCGTCGCAGGCAGAAAAATTTTCCAGAAAACGATCATAAGGGTCCCCCTGATGAACTTTTGGGCCTTCGGGCGATTGCGGGGCGGGGGGGGGGCGGCTCGCCTGGGGCGCTCTCAGCAAACTTAGCGAAAATTGCGATAAATTTACTGAAAACACAGCGCCGCAGGCAGAAATTTTTTTGAAAAAATGTGTCTATATTACAAAAATAAATAGCGTTTAAAAGCCATAAAAAGGCGCCGCAGGCAGAAAATTTTTTGCGAAAAAATCATAAGGGCCTTATGCGCTTTCCGGGCTCGGTCGATTTTGGGGGGAGGTCTATTTCTCCTCACTCTTTATTCTTGTCGAGGGTGCCGTGAACAGGCAAGCGCTCTGCCGCGCTAACTTACCGTTAGTAACCGGAATAAAGTGCTTTAGCAATACGGGTTTCTGCTTTACATTGCCCTGTATTCTCCCTGCTCTGGGCTTTCTATCGCTATATAGATCACCCCGATCCGTTACTTCTCCATGGAGTTACCGCCGTATCATTATTGCCTATTTTGGGCCTTTCCTCCAAATATTAGCCCATTAATGGTGCCAAAATAATCTCCTAACAACACCCAACCCCATCTGCCACCCTAACATTAGTGCCAAAAAATGCGGGAAAATTCAAACTTCTAGATCAGCAGCCCCCTCCATGGGGGCAGCAAAAATGGCGAAAAAAAACATAAGGGTACTACCTTATGTACTTTTCGGCCCCCCGAGGATTTCGGGGGGCAGGCTGCCCCCTGCCCCCCCTCGTACGGGCCTGTAAACACAGTTGCGTAAAAACACCTTAACCAGCGATTCTAGGCATCTGCGCTGCGTAAAGCCCCGCCTTCGGCGCCTTTCGGAATCGGGGACCATAATCTGGCTAAAATCCCGATTCTATAGTCCACGATTCGAACCGTGGACCTTAATGAAAAATTCGGGAAATCTATGGTCCACAATTCCGGCCAATGGTCCACGATATCTCCTATGGTACCTGTTGTATTTGCAAATATAGCGATTTACAAATACAGGAATAAATGTGATACCGAATCCTTTCAGTATTTCCGTTCTTGACACGACGTTCCTTGAGCAAACAGTTTATCCGGCGACGAAAGCACGTTGTCGAACAACCAGGTCCAACTTGACACCAATAGGAAGTAAATCGAGAGAGACCGAGAAAAGCCAAATCATTCGGGGCCTAAATTGGGGACAACGTAGCAGTACGGTCAGACGGGGAAAACTGTGCGTTACAACACCGATAATTACGACAGGTAATTAGACGGGATAAGAACGCATAACCACAACAGTACCCGATACTTATTATAGTACCCGATCTTTTTTATAGTTCCCGTTACCGGTATAGAACCGGAACCGCTAGGTCGTGGTGGGTTTGGTGAAGTGTGGCTACTCACCGACACACAGCGGTATGTCATTTCATTTATCGTTCATAACTTTGGGCTCTGTTAGGAAAATGGTGATGAAGAAAGCGCTACGAACGGATGATTATGCCGGTTATTTGAGGGAACTACGGACATTGAAGGTTAGATTTATCTCGCCCTCATTCTCCCTCTTTTTGTAGGAACTGGCACATGAGAATGTCGTCAGATATTATGAGCCGCCCGAGAATTATCCGGGGATCGACCAGAAAGAATGGTTGATATTTATGGAATACTGCGAGCATGGCTCCCTAAAAGATGGTAATTGATTTTCTGGTGTAACGCCCTTCTTCAGTTTTGCAAAATAAAGAAATAGAGTATTCATTGGCCACAGTTGCTAAATGGGCGACAGAAATGTTTAGCGGTCTCGAATACATTAAAAGTATGAAAAAGATTCACCACGATATCAAGCCTGACAAGTAAGTTATTGAGATGGTAATGATATCTCCGCATAGTTTATTCATATATGGCCATGATTATATCCTCAAATTGGGTGATTTTGGAATAGCCCGAGATCGGGGGACCATTTCAATTGTTGGTGGGACACCTGGGTATATGGCACCGGAAGTACTAGCTGGTCTAAAGCCAAATGGCGAGGTCGGAATATGCTAGAAGCTGTAGTTTTCAACTATTTAGGATATATATAAATGTGATATTTATGGAGCCGGATGGGTTGTATTGGATATGGTTCAGAGAAGGTATCATTTCGCGCTATCGATATATCATTATATAATTGTAGCAATCCCGGAAACAAAATTATTAGCAACGTATTGAGGGATGGATTGCCGCATTTGGAGACCATTAAAAAGCTTGTAGTCGGGTAATGGAACTAGGGTTTGCATTTGCAATTCCTTAGATGTACTTTGTCGAACGTGTTTGATAGGCTTTGTGTGAGACAGGCGTTGGCTTTATGCGAAGGAATGGTGAAGGTAGAACTAGAGGCTACGCAGCATTCTCAGGCATTCCAGGAGTTCGCGGACCTTCACGCCAGGCCTGATCCCAATCCATTCCGTAAAAGACTGGAGCCACCGATTGGACTAGTTGTAGAGGGGCAGGTGAATAACGTCAAATCCGTTGAGATGACCCCACCGGGTGTCGCGTCCACCTCTACTTCGTCAGACAAGTCAAGAAAGGTGCCCGAAGTGGCCCAACGAAAAGTGGACCCACGAGAAAGGCTTCTAATGGATTTGAAGGAACAATTCGGGCTTACTACCCTATTCGACACAAGTCATCATTGCTTCCAAATGGTCACAGATGTGAATCATCGTAAATGCGGCAACAAAACCAGAAGAGCACTGTGTGACGAGATTCTCGAGGACTTGGCGCAACTATCAATTGAGGGTCAATATGCATATGTTGAGCTGATTGAGCGTCAAAGGAAAATGCCCGAGCTCGGCTTACCATATGCAACATACGACACTATTCTGGGTTTATCAGTTTTATCAGGTAGAATATATAGACCGTCAACTGCAGTCGCGATCTCACGACTTTGCGTTTGAAATGTTATTTGAGGCTGATCGGCCGACCCTTCCTTATTGGGATACAGTGCAGCTCATCGAAAAAGCGATTAATGAAGTCAGAGAACTGGACAAATTGTTTATACGGAGACGATTTATATCTACTATCACCATCGATGGGTCCCGCCATACCTGGTTCGAAACGCCGGAAAACGATGCATTCCTGCGCACCGATTATACTGACATGCGCCCGAGGACAAGCTTCGGAAGTGAGATAAATTGGTATGAGACCGGCCTGAAGGAGCCAGTCAATAACGAACAGCTACGGAGGGCACTCGTCGAAGCTGGCCCAGCTTTGAAAAAGCAAATTATCAACCGACGTCTTGCCGTCGAGCAGAGAGCTCGGCCAGACACCAAGTTAAGGTTAGCTGGGCAACCCACCGATTGGGGAACGCTTGATAGCCAGGAGGCGTTGAGCACTCTGGACGCCATTTCTGATCAACCATTTAAAAGATACGTTTTTCTCCTGGATGCCCCTCCCGCACATTCGTGTTCGGAAGGCACCTGTGCAATTGCAGGCGGGTTTCCAAGCTGGGCAGACCCGGACCTCCGCATCAACTATCATCAATGTTCGACAAAAGAGCAAATTGACTATATTGAAGACTATACGCTGATGGTGATTGCCTTCAAATACATTTTACGAAAACTGACGTTTTGGAACGCCTTTTGGTTCCAGCCGTTGATCGACAAATTGATCGCTGAAATCGAGCGTCGACAACGACCCTCGGCATTCTTTTTCGGGTGGTTCGAAACCGCGAACGGCGCTAAGGCGATGATGCTTGAATTTAACCGGATGACGGAGAAGGGGACCTTTCTCACGCGTGAGATGGAGCTCGTCTATGCGCCGCAAGGGCTCAGAGCTATTGGATTTCTCCCTATAAAGCTAGCCAGTATCCTACCAACGCTACGTTCCATACGGGACGTATCGCCGCGGGAATTGGCCTCTGGATGGCCGAAGCCGTTTCCAGGTGGGAAATGGCGCCGAGAATTTGGAAGAGTGTCCCCACCCGGAACAAAAAAAAAATTGGATGTCCCCACCCGGAACATGCGAGATGTCATTTTGTGCCGGTTTCAGGCGCGGCGGCGCTGGGCCGTTAAAATCAAGGAGAGCGGAGACACGGGCCCCAGAAATTTTTTTGAAGCTGTGCGTTTGTTGCGCCGATGTTCATTTCGCCGACGATCATTTCGTCCAATGTCGAGCGAAAATAACAACTTTAAGGGGCTCAGATGAACTTTCCCGAATGAAGTGGTGCTATTTTGGCCCAAAACTCTGTTTCGGCCGGCGAAGGGGCCGGCGAACCTTGGGCGAAGGGGCCGGGCCGGGGGGCCGGCCGGTTCGCCGAACCTGGATTGGCGAACCGGCCGGCAAACCTACGTTCGCCGGCGAACCTCGGCGAACCTGAGCGAGCTTTTAACGGCAGCCCTTATTAACATATGAAAATTAAATTATTAAACGCTTTCTGCGTGTTGTTTCTATAGCTTCTGCTTCCGGCAACGGCAATCGAAGTGTAGACGAGTAGGGAGGCTGGAAATACTTGGATTTCCGGTGTTTTTGGCCTTCGTAGCCTTTGAAACTACTTTTTCTCGGATGAAACTACTCTGCTATCAATTCCTACTTTTAACAGAGCGGTATTGTTAACTACTATAACTTACGAGCCGTTACCACCATACGTGCTGTCGACAGCAGTGGTGCATCCCAACTGCGAAATCTAGGACTGAGCGTTCTTTCGATGGCCTTTTATTATTTTGAAACAGCTTGCCTGGAATTAATCATTTTTAAAGAAAATAGACATTTTCGATACAGCAACAATGTTGCCAGTTACCTGGATTATGAGTAATTAAAATCCTCCTCTTATGCCCTGACAGCCTACCTGTGCTATTTACTTCATATTGCGTAGTAGTAGCGCGCCTACTTTGTAAAATGGTTCTGAAATTAACTTTACAAGTTAGAAACTCTAACTGCCGGTTGCCGGTTGCGCCGTTACGCACCACGAAGCGTATGGTAACCCTAAAACACAAAGAATAGATCGACTTCAGCATAAAAGTAAAACCTACACTACCTATAAACCTAAACATCGACTTAAAAAGTTTAATTAGTCAAGCGTGCAGGCCGCTCAGCAGCCTAGATTTGAATTAAAGGTAAAACTAACCGAAGATGACGTCGTCGGATGCCATTCTCGTCTTCAAGCTTCTGGAGGTAGCGTTCACACTGGTAGGACTGCCTATAAAAGATGAAATCCATAAAAAAAATATAAAGATTTACCAGTTACCAACGATTCCTGGGTTTCAGGATCAGTGTGCTAAACAGATATCACCTAAAGATTACAATAGCAATAAATATAAAAGTTATAAAAGATTTTACCTTGTAAACAGCACAATTTATAATTATTTTTTTGTTTTATTGCTTAACAGTTCAAATCTTCCGCATTTGCCGCACCGGCGCGCGTTGCGGTTCGCCGGGCCGGTTCGCCGAGCCGAGATTTTGCCCCAGGTTCGCCCAGGTTCGCCGCAGGTTGGACGGCCGGTGTGCCCGGCCAGGATCGCCGGCCCCTTCGCCCATCCTCGCCGGCCGGTTCGCCAGCCCTCAGGATGGCCGGCCCCTTCGCCGGCCGAACCAGAGTTGGTAGCTAAATCGTAAAAAATCCGACGAGTTTGCGGACCGCTAGTTAGGGTTTTTTTCGGACACCCTGTATGCGGAGATAACTCGCTAACCTGCTTTTTTGTGATTTTACGAAAAACTTCGCGTGCTAGTATCTCGGCCATCATTGATTTCAACGGCCCATCACCCTGGACCGGAAGCCGCGCAACTCAATGCTACCAAATGACGTATCTCACGTTCGCATTGGGCCTATCTACGATATTGGGGAACCTTCCAGGATCTCGGCGACTCAACTTTCGTCCCAAACCAAAACAGGCTGTCCCAAAAAACCCCCCCTCTAACTCGACGCAGAAGTTACGGATCGGGAGTCATGGTTACACCATTCGAAAGCCCTTGAAACCCCCAGTTTGCAACTATCTTCAAAACCTTTTTTTTAGTTAAAGGGATAACGAAGGAATACGTAATCGATGACGCGAGGGCAAGAAAATGTCTCTGCGTCTCGCCGCTGGACGTGTTCTCTGCCATGCTGGCTACGTCGACCGGTACCGTCGGTATCCCTTTAAGCCCGCTATTTTCTGAGTCATTTTGTAAGATTTTGCGCCGGGGTTGCATGCGAGGCAATTTGCCTCAGTCTCTCCATACAAATCGCTTGGTCACAATGGCTACAAATCGCTTTTTAAATGGCTTGAAAAATGGCGCGTTGAAGTTAAAAGATGGTTTTGACGAATGTTGCAAACCGTTTCAAGGGCTTTTAAACGGCGTAACTGCCATTCCGATCCGATACTTTGCGTCAAGTAACGGTGGGTGTTTTTTTTTGGACAACCCTGTAATATTTAAGCGTGAATTTGTTTTCAGCCGGAAGCGCTTGCAAGCCACGGCCGCTCGTCACCATTTGGAACGAAATCCTGTCAGTTTGACAAACGCCTTTAAACGTTGCTTTTTAGGTGGTACCCAGTGCTTGCGCCATGAGGGAAGTGGTCTGCGTAGTCTGGGAAGAAAAGTATTGAATTCTCAATTTTTTTGGTTCTGATTCTTGTTCGTGTTCTTCCCGCATTAACAAAGTGAATCCATTTCATGATGGCGTTTTGTGGAAAATAAATGGATGCCTTTAAAGGGCACCGAACTGCCAAAAATTGAGGTACGGACCGCAAACCGGAGCCCTGTACGGCGGAGGCCTTTACACACCCAAAGCCCGGGAAGCTCGATCGTTTGAGATTCCCCATGGTCACCTCCAAAATCACGTTCTCGACTGTTTCTAGGCCAAATTCGATGATTAAAACTAAAAAACTATTTAAAATTGATTGATGATTTCAAAAATGAAATGATTAATATGCTAATTATAGTGTTTTTACAAAGAAATAAAGCAAAATCACTATCATATCAAATCAATCGGTTTCGCGCAAAAATTTTTAACCAGTTGCTCTAGAACGCAGGCTAATTATCAGGATGGCATTATTTTGAGTATTTTAAAGCTTAGTTTTTCGCTAAGACGTTAAATTCTGCTTTTAATGATTAAAAATATCTTTTAATTGCGCAACCAAGTGTAAAGATTTACCCTTACGTTTTACATCACTAGGTTCTTGCGAGCCCCAATTTTTTTGCCCGAAATTTGCTAATTTCCACGCTGCAACACTTTGCTATTTGCACAGCCGGCAGAAAGGGGGGATAAAGGCAAAAAGTTTGAAAATTCACGCGAAATCCCTTTGGGGGGGGGGGTGTCGTTTGTTCAGATGCGGAAGTTTCTGGGGGCCACACCAGCGGTAGTCCAATCTAGGGGCCCGATTTTCGCTATTTGGCCAAAATATTCTCTCAAACTTTGGGAAAGTGCCAGCTGGCTGCCAGTCTAAATGTTGACGCTAATTTTATTGGTATTTCTGGCTACCGTATCCGCCCAGGACTTTCCGGACGAATGTATCGAGGGGCGTAAGTGGCATTCGATTACGCCGTTAAATCCATGGTTTTTAGCGTATCTCTCTTTTTCTTGGATGCAATGCCGGATCGCAGCCCGTTGGTGAGTCCAACATTTAATAAAAAATCTGCCGAAAATAGGCGACTTTAGTGATGTTCCAGGGGTCGAGGGTTCGACCCCCGCCCGCGACAATTTCTTGCTTTTTGCTTTTTAAGCTTTTAAAATTTTTCTAGGGGCTTGATGGAGCTCTAAAAAATGAAATTTAGGTGATTTGTGCATCTACGATTCGTGTCTCGTGACGACGGCAGCTGTGGTGACTACGGTGGCCGGGGGAACGGATACGGTAGTGCCGGGAGGTACCGTATACTGCAAATGACGCTAAAAATCGATTCAGGCAGTACACAGCCAGGTTTTACCGGATCGACGAGTCCGGGGAGTTACAGTAATCTCCCATCTGGGGCACCAGTCACAGGCGGCATTTGTAGCGATCTAAGTTCACTGTAAGTTTTCGAAAATTCATTTTTTTGCTTCGCTAGATGGTAAATCGGTTTTGTTGGCTGCCAGTTTAATCTTCAAAGCAAAAAAGAAATCGAATTTCTCAAGTTTCTAGCCATTTTTGATAGTTTTTGTACGTTTCGCTACGCTAGAATACGCTAAAAACGTTGTTCAGGTGCGGCGTATGGGCTCGGAACGGGTTCTGCACGTCGTCATTCTACCCAGAAGCCGTTCGTCGACAACAATGCGGTATTACATGCCAATTCTGTGGAGTGCAGACTACCGTAGCCATCTGTAAAGACAAGCACACAGCAGGGTGGGACATCACTTTCTTGGTCCTTTAAAGCGCGAAAATCGACCCCGCGTGTATGTAGGTGTCGACAGCTACGCTTCGCTCCAAATTCCACGCGATACTTGCCATTTGGGTTTTTGCGTAGTTGTCTACACCTAGTAAAGGCTAGGGGTCGATTCTCACGCCTCCTAGCCCCTTTAAAGGGACGGTAACCCTGGAAAAATTCAATTTTCAGTTGCCCTGTCTGGCAGAAGAACGGTTTCTGCCAATCGAGTTTCTACAACGAGACAATTCGAAGGGAAATGTGCCTGAAAAGCTGCGGATATTGCTGAACAAGAAATCATTTTAATTGATTTTTATATATTTATTTAAAGTTTTTCATTTGCTCCATTAAAACCATCTTTTAATTTCATGAAACATCCGGTGTGATTTTGAGCATTTTCGAGTGATATTTATTGCGCTTGGGTCTCATTTATGCATTCGGTGACGCGAAACAGCAATAAAAGCAAAATAGAGAATTTACATTGTTGCGAAACATAAAAATTCGTAAAAATCATAAATCACGGAATCGAGGTATTTTCTTCAGCTCCATTTGCTGAACCTTCTGTATCGCTTTTTGAGGGTTCGCTGAAAAAAGCTTTTAGCGCAATTTTTTATTCCAATTTTGCGATTTTTGGCGCATGAGAATTTTTTTACCGGGATTACGGTAGTCTAAAAATCTTTAAAAATATTTTTTTTTGCACCTGAAAAGCCAACCTGGCTGCCAATTAAAAGCACCGACCTAACCTCTCCTTCCCCAACCGAAACTACGGTAGTTGGGGCATCAGAAGCCACAGACATCACCTCGTCATTTGGCGCATCCGTACCCGAAACCGGCGGCAATACCAGCCCTGCAGTCTCGGTCACCATTTGAGCGCCCTAAATTGCGGGAAGGCTACAGTGCACTCCAGTTTACACCTACCGTATCCTGGTCAGGTTGTTCTGTGGATGGTTGTGAAATTACGGCCGCATCTTGGCTCGTAATTAGAGGGGTTTCAGGTGGTTCATTGAAAGGATTCGGCTCCGGGGACACCATTCTGAACGAGGGGATACTATGGACGACAGCATAACATTTTCGACATAGCAACATTTTCCTAGCGTAATCGGTCCCGTTTTTTGAAATTGCATGACGTAAAGGGCTTATTTTTATCGCGTAATTGGACAAACTTGCTCGAAAACCCATTAAATTTCCGTATTTTCATAGCGTAATCGGTTCCCTTTTTCACGTAATTGGCTGGATTCTACCGCGTAATCGGTTAAATCTTATACGCACCCCATCAAAACTCACATATCCATATTTTCGGCACTGCTACTCCCAGGGGATTCGATAGGTATAGATGTCGTCTCTTCCCCAGTATTAGCGTCAGTAGTAATACTCGGAATTGTGGATGTCGTTTGGAATAGACCGGAATTGAGGACGGCTTGTTTGATTATCGATTCGACAATGCCACCGCCATCTCGTGTCGTCGTTTCATCTACCGGCGTCGTGCTGAAAAATTCGGATTTTCCGCTTCAACGGCCCTCTCAGCAAAATTTTAGAAAATTCCACAACAAATCTTTGCTAGTTTGCCATCTCCTGATTTTAACTGTCAGTCGGGCAAGCTCGCAGAGATCCTTTGGGAGCGAAAACATCCATTACAGTTTTGATCTTTTACTCCAAGGCCCCTTTAAACGGATTTTTGAAAATTCCGCAAAGTACCTTTGCTAGTTTCCCGTCCAAATTTTAAACTGGCGGCCGGGCAAGCTAGCAGAGACCATTTGAGACAGAAAACCGTTACTTCCGGTTTATTTTGTTCGAATTTCCACTCAAAATCGATTTTTGAAAAATTCCGCAAAAATCTCTGTTCTCAGAATCTTTCGCCAAATGCTTATCTGTCAGCCAGGCAAGCTAGCAGAAAACCTTTGATCGCGAAAAATCGTAATTTCGACTCCTTACGTAGTCTCTGGTACCATAGTAGTCGTGGTAGTTGTTGTAGTCTCTGGCCCGGGTACGTAAGTATACTGTACACGCCATACCGTACCTAGAAAAGAATGGAAATCGATAAATTGGCGGGCAGTAGAGCCATTTTACGATGGCATGCTAGCAAAGGTGATTTGTGGAATCCGATACCTCGAATGACCAATCTATCCGGAATGCATGCTCCTTGTTGGGCAGATAGCTCAGCCCTAATCGAATATCGTTGAAATATGTCGCGATTCCATGGTTTTCTCTTGTCTCCACTCCAAAGTACGTATTTGCCTTCCTCGATCCTGAAAATCGAGGTTATCGATTACGCTAGAAAAATAGCTTCAAAAATTGATTTGCCACTGTTTAAAAAAAGTGCCAGCCTTTTCAAAAATAATTAGATTGCATCAAAACACTTGAAAACTCCGCAGAATTCATTTTATTTATGGTATCGAAGAAATTGGGGTTCATAAACTATTAGGATTATCCGATTACGACATGAAATACTTGCCCAACAGAGATGAGAAATTGGCGTCGATACGGGAAATACGGATCGGCGTGGAGAACGTTTCGTTTGCTGGCTGTACCATCCTAAAATTAAATTTTTTTCAATAGACCTAGCTAAGAGAAAAATAAAATATATCAATCATCTAAAAATAAATTTACTAAACAAAAAGATTTAAAAATCGGAAAAAATTTGGTTTTATTAAAAACTGGTTTTTGTAATTTTAAACGGACCCAATCATCGGAAGTGACCGTCAAATCGCAGCTGTAGTGGAAATGCCACCACTCATCCACGTCAATCTGTAGGTAGGATTACATGTCGTAATCGATTGCAAAAAAAATTTACTCACCTCTGGCAGACACGAGTCGATTTTGGCGGAAAATACGGTCTTGCCGAGCAGACTGCACACCAGATTCACCTCCAGACTACAAAAATAAATCTTTTTCAAAAAGCCTGTTGCCGGCGGGGATCGAACCTACGACCTTTTGCGCGATCGAAACGCTCTGAAATTAAATTAAAACGCAGTATCGACTAGACTGGATGTCAGTTTAGACTTCATAGTACAAAAACTAGCTAAATCTCAAAAAGGAAAAAGTTTGTTGCGGGCAGGAATTGAACCATCGACCCTGGGATCGAAAAAATAGGCTAAAAAACATTAAACTGAGTGTCATATCTTTGAAACAAATCCTCCGCATTTGCCGAAATCACATAGGAGTCCCCGACTTTCCCATCAATCTCGATTTCCTTCGTTTTGAAGAGAGCCGAATTCTGAAATCGACCAAAAAACTGCATAACGCCCAATTGATTACACCAGCAATTACTGTTCTATTTTAACAGTAAAGTTATTGGCTGGAGGCCAGAAAAGAGTCTTATAAGCCTAAACAACTTTAAAGTTCCTTTCATAAGTTATAAAATGCTTACCACCCCAACTCCAAGCCATAAGAATAGTAGGTGGGCAAAAAGTGAGAAAAATCGGGGCATTTCCCGTTTTTCAGGATCATTATTCCGGGGAGTCGGGACACAGGGATGATCACTTTTTTCATTGAGAGAGAGAGAGAGAGAGAGAGAGAGAGAGAGAGAACCCATCTATCATCATTATCATATCCGCCAGCGGGAAAGAGAGTTGTATGAAAAACCCGTATGTGAAGGTAAAAAGGTAGTAAAACTATCTACAAGAGGTAACTGACAGCCAAAAATGGAAATCCTCTGCAGCAATCTAGGAGCTTTCCTAAAGCATCTCAGCTAACAAGATCTCCGCCCCGGTCAATGATAAGACAACCGTGACTAATATGCAAGTAGGGAGGAAGTGGAGGAACAGATAGACAGACAGCTAGACCCTCTGGCTAACCCAGACGGTCCTTCTGATGGTTAGGCTGGTAAAAGACGAGGTAGGTAGTGATATTAAGACGAGCCCCTGTTTCTGCTTTTTTAATAAAAATCTCAGCAAGTCGATCGCTCGAGTCGATTCCATCTTCATATCGTTTTTTGGCAGAGACGGCACGATGATTGCGCTAATTCTTCCACTTCAAAAATTAGCAAAACGAAATTCAAGTTTCGAATCGTATCGACCATTGGCGATCTTTCTAGCCCCACGCGAGCTTTAATTTAAAGAGATGAGGACGGCATCTGTTGAACCCCCTTGGGGAGGGGGGTTCAACAGATGTAGCGGCGAGAGAGGCCGCCCAGGGAAAGGCGCAGAGACATTTTCTTTCCCGAGCGTAATCGATTGACTTATGCCGCCCCTATCCCTTTAAGCAGTGCCTCAGTAAGAAAGGATTCCTTTATTCCACGCTCTTTCTCTGGCCTACAGAATACAGATTCGATGCACTGATTCACTCCGCCTCTCTTCTCCTTTTTCATCAGATGACTCAGACGAGACGCCGTCCCACGGCCCAGGCCAGCCGATTATCGATCGATGCCGGAGCTGATAGCCCGCAGAGAGGCCCCCTTTTCTTTCCATATTTTCTGAATTTGGGCCAGGCTTTCGAACTGATCGCTTTCTTGAGAAGACGCCCGTTCCTCTTTACACCTCTCCCTCTTTCTCTCTTCTCAAATATTTGCCGATGAATCAGCTGTGTGCAGCCATCTTTCCCCGTTCCTCCCCTCCAAAAGCCATACGCAAATTTACGTCATGTTTTTACGTTTTAATTTATGCTTTTTGGCACCCAACTAACGGTTTTATCGATTAAAATTAGTAGCAATTGCTTTTATAAAAAATTTTGATCGCTAAAACTCCGGATTGTTTTGCAGTTTGGCCATATTTCATCTGATTACGCTATCAAAATCTAATCTGAAAATTTTCGAGAGGCATTTTTCCTGGAATTTACTTGTCTGGCGGGTGGCCAAGAATAAACAAACAACATAAATATCTATTTAAAGCCGCATTTTTTAATTTTTCCGGTTATTCAGTTTTGCGTTCTTTATTACATTACGCGGTTAAATTCTGTATTCTTTTTATTTGGTTTTAACGATTTATTGAGCCTAATTTGCTCCCAATAAATCGATTCCATCCCTTTTTGGCCCAGATCCATTGTGTTTCCCTAATTTGCATAATCGTCAAAAGGATGGCCCCGTAGCACCCAGTCTTTCTTTCTTTTTCTCGCCCCCTTATTCAATGGTGCTCAACTTTTACGATGTCCTTCTCAAGGTCTCCCTCTCTCTCTCTCGCTCTCTCTCTCGCTCTCTCTCATCACAGACCATACCTGACCATGGCTGCCGTTCGTATTTTTGAAGGCCTATTCAAGCCATAGCTGATATGAAAAAGCTTGTAGATTTTGGCTTTAGCGGTCCTTTAAAATATAGAAAATTCTGCAATACGTTTATTTGGGAGCCAACCTATAAATTTTTCCTATCATCAACGCATTAATAGGCAGAAATAACTATAAGTTTTGCAGTTTTCTCGAGAAATTTTAATCATATGGATTTTGGCTTCAGCGGTCCTTTAAAATCTAAAAAATCTGTAGATCTGAAAGCCAATATCTCGATTCCGACACTTGGCTACGCACTAATGGATTCTTTTGGGTTTTGCCGGCTCCAAAAACTTATGGAATTTGGCTTCAGCGGCCCTTTAAAAGGAAAATCTATCGAAAAACATAAATTTTCTTATCTGGCAGTCAATCTATCGATTCCATATATTTTCACGTATAAAAAGGCAAAAATACGTTGTGCAGTTTTCTCATTTTCGTTACGATACCCTGGATTTCGAGAATTTCGCTTTTCTCCCTAGCTGGGTCCATTTCTGTAACATAAGCTTCAGTGTCTCCCAGGTAGGCCTTTCTGTCTGTCTGTCTCTCTGTCTGCCAGTGTGTTCGTTCCATTGGTGTATCCCCCGTTCCGTTTATTTACCCACCCCCTCCCCCCATCCAAAGGTCTACACCATGGTCAGGGTGTTCCACTAGGGTCTCTCTCTCTCTCTCTCTCTCTCTCGTGTCCAATATCGATCGAATACCCTTCCGAGGAGGCCATACCTGTCCATCGCCCTAAAAGGAACGCCCCAGGCACTCTGCCCCCTACCAAGTGGCCAGCCAGCCTCTTTTTGTGCCGCACCAAGGCACCGCCCCGGCTGTACGGATGTGTAAGGTGTAGTCTGGCTGGCAGTTAAGCTATTAGTGCGTATTCTGGCTATTCTGTCTGCCAATAAAGGTTCCCGGTTCCTTCAAAACTCATTTTTTGCCGACTTGCAGATTTTGTCATCATTCGTGGCTTTTTTTAGGTTGCCGAGGCTGGCCTGATACGTACAGAGGTGTAAGGTGTACCTTGGCGTTCAATTAAGTTTTTCTGACATACACTAGGGTTCTCGGCTCCTTTAAAATGCAACTTTTTTTGCTCGGTAGTCTATTCTGCCATTATTCGTGGCTTTTCCTGGGTACTACAATTTGTGGTTGTACGTACGGAGGTGTAAGGCGTACTCTGTCGTTCAATTAGGCTTTTCTGCCGGGCAATAGGGTACCCTGCTCATTTAAAATGATTTTTTGCTAGATTTTCTATTATTCGATTACTATTTCTATTACTACGTTTCCAAGGGTTTTTTTGAGTCTCGGTTTTGCTTAAAACATGTATTTTTGCGTATTCTGCCGTACAATAAATTTATTTCTGCGTGTAGCTTGCAGGCCTGCGTATTCTGGCGCACAGTAAAAGGCTATAAGGCCCTTCAAAATTTGATTTCTGTTCGGTTGTCTATCCTGGCATGCAAAATGGATCCGAATTATGGTATTTTCGTGTATTTCTTGAGTTTTTTTTAATTATATCCGATTATGGAGTTTTCCATTTTTCATTCTGGCACCAATCCATATATATGCGAGTTGGTACGCCGGAATGGCCTTCATTTTTTGCCACCCCTCGCCGTCCACATCCACTAGGTCAACGCCTAACAACTCGACCTTCCACCCCCCAAATAGGGACACTACCAGCCGCTAACCAAATGGCCTCAGGGTATATTCTCCACTTTTGACACCTGTAGGCGGTCAACTGATTGGCAGTTCAGCTATTTTCATGTTTTAAAGGGGCCGGGAAGTCAGATTCTAGCGGCTAAATCTTTCCGTTGCAAGCTAGTGACTTCTGAATGAGAATCCTCAGACTAAATCGTTACTTTTGAAACCTATTGACAACATTAAGCGTCGGACTGTCTGGCAGTTCGGTCATTTTCAGATTTTAAAGGGCCCGGCAAGTCAGTTGTCCGACAATAGACCGGTCACGGCATTCTCATCGCAGAAAGCTAGCCGGTGGTCGCAAAATCTAGCTAAATTCACCCATTTTTGATTTTTTCTCTTATGCATTCTTTTTTCTGCCATACAATCGTACGCTTTACTCAAAAAATTCAAAAATATTTTAAGCTACTTCTCTATTTATTGGCCGGCTACTCGATGATTCCGCGGTGGTGACACATGGAGAAGCCATTTCTCATACTAATCGGCCTCTGTGGCCTCCTTCAAATTGCAAATCCACAGGGGCAGGTATGGAAAGAGTGAATTTTCAAAAAGCAAAAAGTTTGCGCCGGCCGGGATTCGAACCCGGGTCGTGAGATTGGCAGGCAAACGACTATCCACTAGGCTAAAGTACGCTTTTTCCAAGAAGAAAACCAAAGATATCCACTTTATGCCAGTCAGTTTGTCGTATTCTCAAAAAAGCAAAAGTTGCGTCGCCGGCGGGATTCGAACCCGGGTCATCAGATTGGTAGTCGAACTCACTATCCACTAGGCCACGTCAGTATCAGGAAATTTAAAAAAAAACCCGAGAAAATCTCCATTTCCGCTTTCAGCCAGCCGACCGTGGCCTGCGGACAAACCTTGGCCCTCCGAAGAACATCCTCGGCGGCTCGTACGCGAATAATGTGACGCTATTCTTTCGGAATTCCCCGTATCGGTTAGTTGGCAGTCGAATTGACGAGATATCGATTATTTTAGGATAGAGAAGGATCTAATCGTTGAGAAGGGAGTGACACTGACGATAGAGACTGGCACTCAGCTTTTATTCGACACGGGAGTCGGACTCATCGTTCAAGGGATAATTCGAGCTGTCGTAAGTTGGGGCCGGGTGGAATATGCTTGAAAATCTTGATTTCGTTAAACTGACAGTTATAGAATATGCATGAAAATTTTGAGCACGAGTTTTAAAGGAACTGACAAGTTCGGGGTTATGCAGTTTTTCGGTTTCTGTCATTTTTGCCGTTAGTGTGAATTTTGAAATTTTTTCTGAAAATATGCATAAAAATTTCAAGTTCAGTTTTAAAGGGACCTTGAAGTCAGAACTTTCAAAAATTCCACAAAAAACCACATTTTTAGGGCAATGAATTTGCGCACATCCAAATGCTACCTTACAACCAGGATTTCGATCAGGAGTTTGACATTCCTCGATTTCGGCTGATTGATGGGCCCACTGTCAAGCAGGTAAGCGATTACGACCTGTAATTCCGTATCGGACAATAGTTTACGCAATAAAATTTTAAAAACTATAAAAGATTTTTAGGGTCGCCTCCAGATGAAGATCCACGATCGATGGAGGAGCGTTTGCACACAGTTGACAAAGTAACGGCTTTTGGGGGTTTTTAAAGGGAACGTGACAGCTGGGAAATTTAGCTACCGTAACCATTACTGTGTGCCAGAAAAAGTAAAAATGACAAAAGCAAGATAATGCAAATTATTTTCAGTTGGACGAGCGTCGATTATACGGTAGCCTGCCGGTCAATGGGATATGCCGACGGAGGTGGGAGATTGTTTTGGTTTTTGGTATACTATAGTCTAATTTATCGATATATTATTTTTTGCATTCTACGCGGAATCTTTTCAATATATTTGAAACGCAATTATAGCAAATTTCAATATTTAAATAAAATTTTGAAATTTCCGCGTTAAATTTTTTTCAATCCCCACATTTTTACGATTTTCGTATAGAAACTCCAACCGCATATTTTCAGGATTCTGGCGTTGGTACCTTCGGAATAACGACACATTCCCGGCAGTGGTTCCCCGGCCAGACTGTCCGCCAATGGCACCAAGTTTACTCGATTGTCCGGGGTGCGTTTTTGCATTTTAAAGGGCTATTGAAGCCAAATTGGATATATTCAATTTGGAACGTTCAAAAATTGGCAAACTGCCAGCCAGTTTAACGATTCATAACGTATTTTTGCCTTTTTAAAGGGCCGTTGAAGGCAAAACGGGCTATGGATTCGATTCTTAGCAAATAGCCAGTCAGTTTACCGATCGATACAGTGATTTTCGATTGGCCAACTTTTTCAATTTTTTTTATGAAACCGACCCTCCATTTTTCAGTCTATCCGACGAGTCCAAAATTCCAATGTCCGAGAATCTATGCCAGGGTGAAGATGATGTCGGGATGATTTGTTGGGGACAACCGACATTCAAGGGGTGGAGTCGACACTGGAAAGGTACGCTAATCACAACGATTTTAAAGGATCCCACAAGCCCGAAAAATAGCTAAAAAAGAGAAAAACATTTAATTGCCGAAAAATAGCTTTTAGCGCAATTCCCCGTCGTAATCGAATGAGAAAATATCGATTCAATTCAATTGCACAATCGATTGCGGTCTATCAAATTGATTACGCTACTTAATTCATTTCAGGCCTTCAAATCCTGAATTCCCCGTTCGGTTATGTGAACGCGGATCCGGATAATGTGGCAGTACAGAGAGAATCAGCCAGTCGACTCGAATGGATCGATATTTTGTATGCCGGATATGATGGGTATGCCAAAATATACAAATATAGCTCTAATAATATTAAATGGATTTTTTTAAGTTCATACTGTCATGCAACAATCCTTTTAGCGCCTCAAAAAACGCAACGCCGGCCCTGTACATTGAGGGCGTGCCACCGCTGATGAACGGTACGTTATGCGGTTTTGTATTTCGTTGACTACAGACTACAATTCGATTTTAACGATTGATTTCTGTAGTCTGGTAGCCAGTAATTCGTTTTGCGTACAAAGTACGAAAACTACAGACTAAACTTCTATCTTAGCGTTGTTTTTCGGTAATCTGGCCGCCAAAATTGACCTTTCTGGCCAGAAACTACATAAACTACAAACCACAAAGCAATTTTCATCATTTTTTAGCTAATCTGGCAGCCAGATTGGCCATTGATCTTCTTGAAATTTTTATATCTACCGTACTCCAGGTATCCGCGTGGAAAGAAGTGGTCGTGATGGTGTCTATTTCTACGAGCCGAGTGGCCCGATTTTGATAGCAAATTCGACGTTTTCCTTTAATCGTGGCCACGGGATTGCAATCGACAATACGACAGGTATACAGGGTGTCCCAAAAAAACCCCCCTACCTAACGGACCGCAGTCGTGTCCGATTTTTACGATTTAGGTATCTATCGAAAGCTCTCGAAAAGGCGAGAAAACAAGGAGGGTTGAATTTCTTAATTAAGCCTTTTTATTTGCTAATTTTATGTCCAAAACCATGAAAACTGCTGATTCATACGAGATCTGCATGCTAATTGCGAAATTCCTGATGAAAAATTCCCGGCTTTTTAGGAAAACCTGAAATATCGATAGAAGCAGATTAAATCTTAGAAAACGAAACCCGCTTGTTTTCTCGCCTTTCCGAGAGCTTTCGATTGGTATAAAAATCATTCCGATCCGATCCGATTGACGGCCTCTAGAGGGGGGGTTTTGGGACACCCTGTATATGGAAGCCAGAATATCGATTCAGTTATTTGATTAATTCAGATGGTCGTGCATTTATCAATTATACGATGGTCGAGGGAAATTTGGGTGATGGAATATGGTATCGACAGAAAGGGAAAGGAAGTATCAATGTTGGACTCATTGATCGAGTACAGGGCAGTAAGTTCATTACGACAGTATATTTTTAATGGTCTAAGCGCTTCACTGCCTTCCAATTTGCACATTCTCACCCAAAACTATTAAAATTTTTTTGCAGGTTTTCCAAAAAAATCGACTTTTTCAAAAATTTTAAAATTTTTTGAAAATCTGTTCTTCTGTAAAATTTTCTGTAAAATTCATTTTTGCACAAGGTTGGCCGTAGAAATAGTACGAATAGTTAAATTAATTTGAGCATTTTCGTTTAAAAATACATAAACTCATTTTTAGCAATTAAAAATCGGCATTTTTGCAAAATATGACAAATTTTGGTACATAATTTTACAACGAAATTTACGCATTTACAATTCTTAGAAAATACAAAAATCATATTAGAAAGATAATTTCAGTTTTCGAATAATAATTTTTCGAATTCTAAAATTTTTTAAAGTCAATTTTTATGTGTTTTTTGCAGGGACAAAGCGGCAGATGCAGATCAGCGATTCTCTCAACCAGATCGAGATTCCGCAAGTGGACATTTGCCAGAATCACTCGGCGCCAACGGCCCATTATTTCCCATATCTACTCCGAGCCCTACTGGAAGAAAATACGCTTCTGGACCCGCTAATTCCCTCTCCTTGTTGGATTACCGTATCCCTTCCCCCACGGCTACCCTATACATATTCTCTACAATTTCTGAGCGTGAAAAATAAGAATCCGGAGGATACGTATACCTTTCTGAGGATCTGTGAGGGAGGGCATGATCCACAGGTTGAGACATGTCTTCATGAGCTGGCAAAAGTCCCAATAATTGATGAGAAGTTGCCACAATCGCTCGCGATACGGTGGGTATTTTTATTTTTACCATTGTATGCGTTTTCTGGATATCATTACGTACTTCTAGCTACATCCTGTCGCCATAAGAGTTATGCGATTTCGAGAAATCCTTCGTTCCCATTTCTCTGACTGCGAAAATCATTTTGTAATTTTTTTTACAGCTAAACTGGTTTTTTGGGGTCCCATGAACAGAATTGGATAGCTTTTGAAGACTTAAGAATACGCTAGAGGTGATGCGGTCTTTCGAAATTGTATTTTTTTCACTCTCTTACTGCCAAAAATCAGTTGCCTCGATTGCAATGTCCTAAAATGTCATGAAGCTTTAGGGATGCCGTGGGAGTTTTTAGAACGTTTTTTACCACGATTCGACTTACTGGTTGGTAAAAAGTACAATAACCTTTTTAGCTCCTCTGGAAAACCTCTAATGATCTCGCTAATCCACGAACTCGGCGGCGACCTTCAAGGATATGTCAAATCTGCAGTCGACGTCATCTTTCGAGTTCATGCTTCTGTCCTAGGTGAGTCAGTTTGACTGTCAGTACGATACATTCCTTTAGACAAAGCCTACTACGGCCTCAACGTGACAAACTCGATTATTCGTGACAACATCGGGAGTGGAATCGAGGCATGGGATATCAGAGACAGAACAGCACTCACTAATGTCTCGATACAATCAAATGAAGGACTGGCTGGACTGTTAATAAGAGATGGGGCTGCGGATATTTGGCTGAATGAGACGAGAATTGATGAGAATTGGGGTGATGGAATGAATGTTTCGTATGCTGGAGGGTCGATTACGGTCAACGGGACCAGTTTTAGGAGGAATCGATGGAGGGGTACGTTGTTTGGAGGGCAGTTCAAAACTTTTTATAAAAATGAAAATGATTGGTGCTTTTAAACCTTTAAAAATCGCTAAATTGGCAGTCAGTTTGTAGCGAAATCGATTAATAACTTTTTGAGGTTGTTGAAATACTGTAAGCCGATAAAATAACGTGTAGATCGATAAACTGCAGCCAGTTTACATAAAACTCAGTAAGTTGTTTTTCAAAAATCTTCAAAATAGCCTAAGATTACTATTGTAGCCTCAAATTAAACAAAATTTGCAGAGGCGGAATTTTGAAACCAGTAAAAAGTTCGTTTCTCAGTTAAAACGAGTTAAAAATCATTGAACCGCTTGCCAGGCAGCATAGAAAATCATTTAGATTAGGTGTAGCATGCCTAACGCCCAGAATTACGCTTCAAAAACGTTAAAAATCAATAAACTGGCTGTCAAATCACTTAAAATCGTTACAATAATTACTCCGTTAATAACATCAGGAAAATGCAATGAAAATCGTTAAACTGGTTGCCATTTATTCTAAAAATCACTAAACAGATCTCCTCCCTTCCAGGCGCCGCATTCCACTTCAACGAAACGTCTCCATACCTTGCCTTACACCACGAAATCATCTTCAAAGGCCGTCCGTCAAATAATATTTTTTACGTCCCAACTCGTGTCAGTGAGAATCTGTGGGGTGGAATATTGGTCGGCAATTTCTGCTATCCAGCCTACAGGAATATCGAGCCAAAGGTATCCTTTTATTAAATCGAACCTTCATTTTACACGATTTATCGAATTTCTTGTTTTTTAATAATTTTATTTGGAATTATATTTTTTAATTTGGATTTTTGCCGCGTCGCGACACGCAATGCGTACACTTCTTTTCCACCCGCACAAACATCGTAATCAATTACGCAACGAAAAGGTGCGTGCGCGTTGCGTGTCGCGGCGTGCAAATTGGTTCCCGCGCCGCGACACGCAACGACTTGCAACGACGGCTTGGCTGCCATAAACCTGTCGTAATCAATTACGTGATGAAATGCCGCACGCGTTGCGTGTCGCGGCGCGGCAAAATTCTTAGGAAATATCTATCCAAAAATCCATCGGATTCAAAACAATTTTTCTAAATTTAATTTTAGGTTCTAATAAATTGGGTTCAATTCGGAAAGAACGTCTACCATCCAGCCCTCGAAATATTTTCCTGTCAATCGGATCGGATGGCCAAATCGATTGTGGATGTGACGGGGAATACATTTGAAGGTAAGTAAAAAGATTAGGGCTGTATTACACAGCGTAACTAATTAAGCATTGTTAACAAAACTCATTTTGCGCCCTTTTGGAGCTTATTTTTATACTGACTTTGAGGTTTTTAGAAGGTTCAAGAAGTTAAATTCAACATATTAGAGGAACATATTAGAGACGAAGAATCCACGAAAATGCCATTTTAAATTTTGGCTTTTTCCTAGCAAACGGTTATGTAGTTTAGGCACAACTAGGGTTGTTTCTCGGAACAGACCGAGATTCGGAACTTTCGGAACAAATACTGGTCGGAACGTTCCGAGATTCGCGTGTTCCGGCTGTTCCGAGATTCGGAACATTCCGAGATTCAAATGTTGCGGTTGTTCCGAGATTAAAAGTGTTCCGACTGTTCCGAGATTCGGAACGTTCCGAGATTTGGCTGTTCCGACTGTTCCGAGATTCGGAACAGTCCGAGATTGAGGTGTTCCGAGATTCAAATTTTTTCGCATGTAAATTTCGATTTCGTGTAAATTGTGTAGATTGCATGTAACTGTTTCGATTTTGCCGTGACACGGCACTTTGGGCGCAACTGAACACTTAATTCCGTCGATGGTTAGATATCGAATCTGGAAATTAAGGAAATGAGAACGAATTGGGGCTCGAATCGAATCGAAATTCAGTCGTGTTTAGAAATTTGCATGCGAAAAAATTTGAATCTCGGAACAGCTCAATCTCGGACTGTTCCGAATCTCGGAACAGTCGGAACAGCCAAATCTCGGAACGTCCCGAATCTCGGAACGTTCCGACATTCGGAACAGTCGGAACGGTTGCTGTTCCGAATGTTCCGAATCTCGGCCTGTTCCGAGAAACAACCCTAGGCAAAACCCTGCAATATCGATTTCGGTGTTGTTTGAGAAAGTTACTAGGGTTTTGCTGGATGCCAAAAAGAGTCAAAATTGTTTTTCAAGCAATTGCTAGGATCGATTAGATGTCAGAAAGCCTAAAAATAGTTGAAACCATATTTTTCTATCATGTATAAAAATTTTGGGGACTTGAGAAACGTTAATTACCCTAGCTGGACAGCTAAAAGCTTAAAAACCACAAAAAAAAAACCCTTAAACTTTCAATATTTTTTGCAGCAAACGGCGGGATGAGCCTCCGCATGCTCCCACTCGTCAATATGCACGCCATCATTTCGAGTAATCTATTCATGGCAAATAACGACACAGCTCTACTCATCAAAAATTCGGCCCATCCGTGGTTGGGGAATCTGTATGCAGATGTGGCAATATCAAAGAATGCCTTCAAATTCAATCGAGGACAATATATCGTGAATATCGGGTTGAATGAAGATGCCCCGAATCAGAAGATGATATTCAATCAACAGAATGAAATCAGGGAGAATAGGGTATTTAACCCGTATCCGTCATTACAACCGAGAAGTACACCTTACGCTGCGCTGGTCGTGTCGAGCAGGTGAGAATTTTCCATCAAAAAATTAAAATTAGTTTTAAAATTGGCAAACTGCGATGCAGAAAAAATATTTACCCAAAAAACGCATTAAAAATCGGTTTGTAGCTTGTAGTTTTGATTGAATTACACTAACTCGCGAGTTTTCTTGACAAATAAACAAAAAATATTGGAATTACAATTAATTTAAAATACCTCTAAAATTTCTTTGGGTAAACTGCCAGGCAGAAAAATTTTAGATTTAGCTCATAACGATTTTGTAGTTGGTAGTCTTACCAACATTGCCTTAGCTGGTCATCATACTATACGAATTCATATAAATTTTTGCATCAAAATTAATTTTTACCAAATTCATCAACAAGTTTTTTTGTAGCCTGCCTGCCAGGCAGCTAAGGGTTCGCTTTCTAGTCTGTAGTTTTGCTTTATTAGCCTAACTGGCCATCATACCGTAGACGTCTTTCAAAATTTGGACCTCTAGATCGATATTTAAGTTATGCGGATTACGGAGAATTGCCGTACTGGATGACAATTTAGCAAATTTTCCAAAGCCTGGATCTAATGAAATTTTTCAGTGATGCAGTTTGTCAATTGGATGTCAGAATAGACAAAAATCGCTTAAAACAGCTCACTGATTTTTAAAATACGATAAATTTAATAAGAATAGCTAAACATCGTCCAAAAAATCAAAATTTAAGCAACTCCAATTTTTCAGCAACGTCATCCTCCATCGGAACTGCTTCAAGAACCCAGAAGCCGAGTACGAGATCGCCACCGAGTTACAAGAACACGCAAAATCCATAGATGCGAGGGAGAATAATTGGGGTATCCCGTTCCCCTCCCAATTCATGAAGAAGATCTTTGATCAATTCCTCCGCTACAGTCTCGCCTCAATTGATATCGATCCATATGCGGCTGTTTGTAATCAAAGGAATCCCCATGTCACCAGACAACAAGAATACTTCCGGCCATTTCGACCGAATGACGAGAGACCATTCGAGATTGGAGGAGTTGTTTTTGAGAATAATGACCTGCAAAAGGGACGATATATCGTCACTTCGGATCTTCATGTTTCTCCTGGGGCTAGATTGGGCATTGCTGCCGGGAGTACTTTCGAATTTGCGCCGAACGTTGGAATGCTCGTTGAAGGTATGTCATTTGGTATAATTCTATTGCGTAATCGATTCGAAAAACCTGAATTACATGACGTAATCGTTAAAACAGTGGCAATTATATGTCGTGATCGATTAGACCCTGCTAATTAGATTGCGTAAACGATTGTCGTGGCATGGAATTCATGCCGGTTTATTTATATGGCGTAATCGTTTAAACTTATAGAATTAAGCGTCTCAATCCGTGAAATTTTGACAATTTTAGGGCGTAATCGATCATAAGCAACGGATTCAATAGCGTAATCGGTGGTACCTTTTAATCTATCTGACTGTGATAGCCAATTAGATAGCGTAATCGGTTTGAATCCGCCAAATTAGATGCCGTAATCGATTAAACCGTTGTTTTAACGGTCGTAATCGATTAAACAAATCGAATGAAATGGCATAGCCGGTTAAACCTCGCGAATTTCATCCCGTAACCGATTATACCATGTAATTAAATGTCGTGATTGTTCAAGCCAGCGCAATTTGGTGCCGTAATCGATTAGGCTCCGCGCTTTTGATAGTGTAAACGGATATACCTCTACGTATCGTAATATTCGAAGCCGGGGAATTAGGTGGCGTAATCGGATACACCCGAATTAAATATAGTAATTGGAGTAGAACGGGCTGATTAATTACCTAGCGTAACTGGTTAGCCGCTTCAAATTAGATGTGCTAATCGGTTAGACCACTTGCCGCTCACGCCTAATTAAATAGCGTAAGCGGTTAGGCCTCGACCGAGAAATTAGCTGGCCTAATCGGTTAGCAAAAATTGGGTTCAAAAACTATATCCTTTTGTTCAGGTGAGATGCTGCTGACAGAATACCACGAAGGAGATTGGACTCCAAATGAGAAGACAGTCTTCACGGGACAATCATTTGAATTGCCACTCAGCGAGAGAGTACGGTTGATAGATGATGATGGAAATGATCGGACCGTGGAAGGGAGATTGGAAGTATTCATTGATGGTCAATGGGGTACTGTATGCAACAGATCATGGACTGCACAACACGCACTTACCGTATGCAATCAGCTGGGTAGGTTAATTCAAAAATAAGAAATATCGCAATAACAATCAAAACCAGAAAAGCCCCCCCCCCCCGATATTGGAAAAGCTCCCAGAAAACTAAAAAGATTTTTGTTGTTCTAAACTTCGGCTAGTCAATAACTAATTTTTTTATTTTTAGGCCTGTCAATGGACCCGGAATACTTTGAAAATTGGCGAATTTTCCCGCCAGCCGGCGATCTGCCAATGTTAATGGATAACATCAGATGTGAAGAGAATGAAGTTGACATCACAAAATGTCGATATGATGGATTGTGGCATAATGTGGGGGCTGGGTGCAGAAGGACTGAAGTTGTTGGAATACGGTGCGTCCCGCCACGCTGGGCGGGTGTACGATACTCCCTCCTCGCCAACCCTCCAATGGTCACCGGCCAGCCGACGATGAAGAATTGGCTCATCGAGAAAGGTACGTCCTTACATCTTCGAGTCTGTAGTTTGGCTCCAAACTACAAAAATGACTTGACTGCATGCCAGGAAATAAGAAAAATACAAACCACAACATTTTTGGAAGCTTTGGTTTGACGACCGGCCAGCCTAGCTCGAGAGCGATAAAAATTGTAGTCTGTAGTTATAGACTCCAAGCTACAAAAATACTGAAACTGTCGGCCAGTCAACAATACGGAATACAAAATACAAAAAGCAGAGTTTAAATAAATTTTTTGGTGCCGGAAATCTTTGATCTGGGAGCCAGACTGGCAAAACGTGCTAAAAATTGTAGTTTGTATGACTCGAAGACTTGGTTTGTAGGACTGGCTCGAAGCTACAAAAATAGGTTAACTGTATGACAGTGAAGCCAGTAATGCAAGAAAGTCAATGTTTATCATCTGTAGTCTGTATTCTGTAGTCCGTTCCCTCAAAAAATCGCCCCATTTTCAGCCGGCCTCTTCGATTTCCGGAAGCCGGAATTTTCCGCCGCGCTCCAAGTCGACTGGAACTACCATACGTTCAACAATTTGGAGATACGGTAGAATGAAACGTACTATAAAAATAAAAAATAACAAATACAGGGACAATTTCTGGGATGGGCTCGATATCGTGTACAACGATTTGACGAAGAAGCCGACGATCAGGAATGCGATCATTCATAATAATCGAAGGAATGGCATACGGTTACGGTCGAATGGGTTGACCATTGAAAATGTAAGTCGCAAAAAATAGAAAAACGAGGATTACGGTAAAAAAACTCGAAATTATCAAAATCAGCTTTTTCTGAACGTTCTAAATTTATCAAATGTTTAGTTAATTTATCAACTGGTATTTAATGACTGATAATAAAAACATAAAAATCAATACAAATATTACCGTAACACTAAAAGCATAATTCTACGAAATAAAATCAATATTACGGTAGAAAAAGCAAAATTGCACAAAATTCATTTTTTGAAAAAATTATATTCAGTATTTTTATTTTTTTAATTGAATTCCTAATTTTAACTTACACGGAAGCCTTGAAATTGTAATTGGTAACAAAATAAGAAACGAAAAATAAGTTTAAATTTTAAAAATGTTGTTAAAAATTTTGCGATTTTTTAATTTTTGGCGTTTTAAAATTAAAGTTTACGGTAAAATCACGATAATTTAGGTAACAATCTCAAACTCCGGGCTGGCGGGTGTCCACTATAATTCGATGGTATCGACGGGATTACAGAGGGATATCGTCTCGTGGTTGGACCGGAAGGAACAGCCCGATTTGGAGGTATACTGTAGTTTAGAGAGTAGCGTAGTTGCGAGACATCGGCAGGGTATTACTACAAAAATGATATCATTGACTGCCAGTTTAGATACACCACAGGGTTTAGGTTAGAAAAAGAGAAAATTGCTCTAAAGATGCCTACCGTATCCCAACCAGGCAAATTTACCAAAAATTACGATGTTGTCAGAATCGCGGCCAAAATTCGAAAGTTTTTGGTGAATTTCGTTATTCTGGATAGAACTGTATTTAATACGATTGAAAATCAAATTACCATAGCTTTAATTTTTCAAAACTTGGTCATGCAGTTTTTCCAGCAATAAGCCCTTTTTTCCACAAATTACCGTCAAATATTATTTTTAAAGTATTCAAAAAAGTTTTTCTTTGTAAATTTCATTATTCTGCATGATACTGCATTCAATTAATTAAAAAAGACAGCTTTAGTAACCTATATTCTTTTCTAGGCAAACAACGTCTTTGCCATTCCCTCGAAAGACCTGGCTCGTCTCGAAGTTCTCGAGTCACATCTCAATCAACGTAAATTCCTGGTGGCCATGGTGAATGGGGATTGTCCATTTGGTAGGCAGATTATACATAAATCGAATAATTTAATAAATACCTACAGTAACCTACGAGGAATGTGTACACGAGATGATATTGGAAGCATCGGGATTCGAATACGGGATGGCCAGTCGATTGGCTGTACAGGTCAGCTAGCAGAGATTTTTAGGGAATTAGACATATAGGCTTCATTGGCCCTTTAACATGTTCTAAAAATTATTTTAGATTGTCAACCCGGCGAGTAATGTCTCTGATGAAGAAGCGATAATTACCGATCCGATCACCGGAAAAACCTACTCGGTAAGTATTGTAATTTTAAGGAATTCCTTTGGTTTCTTAGCTTAATTTGAAGCTTTGATTTTCCGGCATACAATATACCGAAAAACAGTGAAAAATTTCTAAAAAGTAGTTTACATAGGCGCTAAAAACTTTCAAAAAATCGAATTTTCCAAAATTTAAAAATGTGGAATTTGAAGGAAATGGCGCATTTTTCTCGAAAAACGAAACTTTTCTCCTTCCTGGAGACTGAGGTTTTACATTTCCTGTGTTACCGTATGCCATAAAACCCAATAAAATTCCGGAAATTTTGAAAATTTGTTTTTTTAAACCAAAAATAGAAATTTTCAAAAATACACTTTTAATTTTTAAAAACGCATTTTTCATTTTTGTGTCGTACAGTATGCTAATAAATGGCTAAACAAGGGCTTGAATTTAGGTGCGCAAGAACCAAATCGAATTCCCAGTCACTTCAAAAGGCCAATCCCTGCACCTCCGCTACACCAGAAGTTGGGGCCAGCCAAAGATGGTCTTGCTAGTGCTTTTCCTCGACGGTAAACTTTCACTATGATTTGTACGATGCTTCTGACATACGTTGATGAATTTAAAGCATATAAAAATTGAACTTATACAACAATTTTGAGTTATGCAGGTCATGCAGTTTTTTGCAGCCCAAGAGTACCTGGATCGATTTGTGCACGTTTTGGAGTCGCGGATCGATAATAACCAATACGGAGTGTCATCAATTCATTACAAGTCAGTGATTTTGTCTCTCTCTCTCTCTCTCTCTCTGTCTCTCTCTCTCTCTCTTATCTACCTGTCACCATCCCTTTAAAACCGATTTTTTAGCAATCAGACGATGTTTGACGGTACACTGACGAACAGATGGTCTTATGAGAAGCTATGGTTCCAAAAGGTATGCAAATTTAGCTTTAAAGGAAACGGGAAGGCATGATCTGCCAACCGATTACGCAATGGAAATTCCTTACTCAACTAACTCCCGTCAATATGGCAGGAAAGGGCTAGCGCCACTTTAAAAGGGGTTACAGCTTTTGTTTTGAATTTATAGTAGCTAATTGTATAGCGAAATCGGTTGACTAAACAGCCTTCCTGGTGCCTTTAAAATCGTGATTTTAGGTGAATTTCACCCGGAATAAGGAAGCTGTTCTCTGGATGCAAAGTCCACAACATATCGTGCCGTGGGGAACACCGATGGCTCAAGTCTGTTAACAGGAATTTACTATAAAAATACAAATATAAAAATGAAAAATATAACTTAAACAATATGTAGATTTTTCGATTTCTAAAATTTGAATTTTCTTAATAAATTTTTCTGTTTGGTTTAACCAAATTTTTCTCTATTGTTTATAAATAGTAATACCGTTAATTAGTCTTATTTTTTTAGATAATGTACCACATCGATAACTGCTCAATTCACCACAATTCTGGCCCTCTGGTCGAGACGCATTGGGATCTATTTTCATCGGCCAATGTGTTCCACTGGAATTTCTGGTCGGCACATTAGACGATAAAAATACAAAAAAAATATTTTTAGGTCCAACACCTTTGCGAACAATACAAATTCTGGCGCATCGGTCAGATTGCCGGATCCTTATGATGTGACGGCTAGACATCAGGGGCACACGTTTTTGGTGAGTTTCGTTCTGGGCCTCTCTAACAGCTTGCGTCTCTCTTTCTCTCTCACTCTCTCTCTGTCTCTCTCTGTCTCTCTCGCTCCCTCTCTCACTCTCTCTCACCCTCTCTCTGTCTCCCGCTCTCTCACTCTCTCTCACTCTCGCTCTCACTCTCTCTGTCTCTCTCGCTCTCTCACTCTCTCTCAATCTCTCACTCTCGCACTCTCTCTGTCTCCCTCTCTCTCACTCTCTCTCACTCTCTCACTCTCTCACTCTCTCTGTCTCTCTCGCTCTCTCACTCTCTCACTCTCTCACTCTCTCTGTCTCTCTCGCTCTCTCACTCTCTCTCACTCTCTCTCTCTCTGTCTCTCTCGCTCTCTCCTCTCTCTCACTCTCTCTCTCTCTCTCTCGCTCTCTTTCTCTCTCTCTCTCTCTTGTTCTCGCTCACACTTTCTCGCTCTCTATCCCGCGCTCTTTCTTTTTCGAAGGTCCCGGCAGGACATGACAATGGTTTTGCCATTGCGTAATCGATTACGGTGCGATACGCGATACCTTCCCAGTCTCCTCCAACCTAAAATTCCATTTACTTCCAGATGACGGAAAATCGTTTCGAGAACAACGAAGGTCTCCGTATCCTCGTCGACGGTTTCCATTCCTGGGTCAATATATCTTCCAATAATTTCACCCAAAATACTGCCCGACTGGACTCTGGATTGTATGAATTGGCCGGGATGGAGAAGGACATCATCTTCGAGAGGAACAGATTCCATGGCAATTGGGTACGTTAGTTTGAGCGTAATTTAAACTGGCAGCCAACATAAGCTACGAGCTACAAAAAAATTTAAAATTCAGCTAAAATTCAAAAATCCGATTTTTTGAGAAAAACTGCATAATCTGCTTCACCAAAATTCAAATAAATTGTAACAAAAACTATATCAAGCTGTTAACTGTCATACAGTATGGCTAAATCCAAAATGTTTACCGCTGAAAATTCTATAATTATATTTTTAAGGTAATTTCCATCTTTTAGGGCCATTGGCTGCTGAAAATGAACATGGAAAGTCAGAGCGTGCGCAATGGATCGAAAAATCTTCCAGCCTGGATCCAGTACAACTATTTTGAAGGAAATAGGTTCATCAAGGTGAGAAATTTGCAAAATCCTGAAATATACACAAATCATATTTTATCCAGGTCAAATTTTGACAAAAAGCAAAAAAGTTTGACTTCGGGCCATCTGAGTATCAGTTTAAGGAAAAAGCGAGGTTTCGAGCAAAAAGCAAAAGGTTTGACACCGGCGGGAATCGAACCCTGGTCGTCTGCCTGCCGGTCTAGCTCGCTAACCACTTGATCACCTAAAAATTCCAAGAATCACCTAAATTCATGAAATTTCAGGACGACGGTGAATTCGTGGATATGTGGCCCCGTTCGTACGCTGTCGGAATATTTGGGACTCAACGAGCCGACGTTCACTTCAACCGATTGCGCAACGTATTGATGGACTTTGAGCTGGTGGCCGGGTGTACGGTAGGGCAGGGAGAGGGGGTACGGTAATTACAATATTTTATTTATAGCCAATTCGCGTGCTGGACGAGATGAATGCCACGTATAATTGGTTCGGATCTGGGAATGATGCCGAAGTGGCGCAGCGGGTTTTTGATTTGGGTCAGTTTTTTAGAAGTTTAAGCTAAATTTTCGGTTTTAAAGGTATGATTAAGTCAGCTGTTAGCCAGTTAACAGATCTAGCAAAAAAAAACAGGCTAAAAAATAATTTTATTGATTTTCTAGCTGATTTTTATCGATTTTTAGACGATTGGAACATCTACACCGTTGCCAATTATTCGCCCTACTTCGCGACCGAGGAGATGTTTATGAGTTTCTGGTGGAAACCGAGGATCGTACGTTTTTTTCACTTAATTTTGAGCACATTTTCTATATAAAATTAATAACCGTATTTTTGTAGGGTCAACTCGTCTACCCACAATTCCCCGAGCCTTCCGGGTTGGATTTGAAGGGGAGAATGTGGCAGGACAAGACGCTGAAACTCGAGATTGAGCAGT